GACTTAAATATCACGATTTTACATTATTTCGAATAAAATTGTTAAAGCAGAGAACGTACTTCAATTTATTAATCCCCCTTAGACTTAAGATAGTTAGTAATTTTTCTGTGAGTTTTGTAGTTTTACAATTTAATAAATCTTGCTAAAATCTACATTTTAGGTGAGGACATTTTCCTAGTAACAAAACTGCCTCCAGGTGGAATGCGTCCGGAAGGAGTGCGAAAATACATTAGGAGATCTTTGGATTTGCTTCAATTAGACTACGTGGATCTTTACTTGGTGCATACCCCGTTTGGATTTAAGGATGTTGAGGGAGATTTGCACCCCACGACCCCCGAAGGAAACATTGATTTAGACTTGACTACCGATCATCTAGCGATCTGGAAGGTAAAATTTCCTTGATTAAGTCCATTAATCTGCAATATGGGTAATAATTATTGTCGTATTGGTAGGCAATGGAAGAACAAGTCGATAAGGGCCTTGCCAAGTCTATTGGTCTCTCAAACTTTAACATCTGCCAAATCAGCAGGATCCTGAAGAACGCTAGAATTCCACCATCTTCCCTGCAGATCGAATTGAATGCGTACTTTCAGCAAAATGAGTTGGTCGATTTTTGTAAAAAGAACAACATTGTTGTTACGGCCTATTCTCCTTTAGGTAATCCCGGACTGAAGAAGCTTTTCGATAAACTTGGCAAGCAGTAAGTATATAAAAACAGATTTTAAACAGCATTAAAGCCACATGTTTTTTCTAGAATCGAATTGCCAAATATACTGAATAATCCTACGGTGGAAAGACTTGCAAAGAAACACAATAAATCAAATGCACAGATTCTGCTGAGACATCTGGTGCAAAAAGGAATTAGCACTATTCCAAAATCTACCAATCCTGCACGACTTAGGCAAAACTTGGACATTTTTAATTTTAAATTAGACGAACAGGACTTAGTGGATATGAATGGTTTGGATACTGGGGCACGATTACTAGATTTCCTTATATTTAATGGGTAAGTGCATAATAATAAGTGTTTACTTTAATGCAATTAATAATAATATATTGTATACGTAGTTTCCCAAAGTGCCCGGTAATAAATGCAAGAACATTTTTTCTTTTAGGGAGTATTTTCAGCCTAAAAATGCATTTTTTGACGCTGTTTTAAATATCTGTTTTAAATATTAACAGTTTCTTATTTCTGCTTCTATATTTTCTGGTATTATTTTCGAAATTGAGGTTGTTTCAATTAAATTGTACGCCATTACCCTAGATGGGAAATTTCATGCCGTTTGCCATTTGATGCCGACTAAGAGATTTTTGGGGCCTATTAAAATGGCAAAGTCCTATATATCACTAAGCTGAATCGTGGAGGAAGAAGGGGTTGGTGCAGGGCCAGCACCCGTTTGATAGAGATTCTGCTTGTTTTCGGCGAATTCGAGTAGTTTTGAACCAGAACGCGAAGTTTGAATATGAGACACTTTAGTTGCAAGATTATGCCAAAATGTCATGTTTTCAGTTCCGTTTTTTTTTTCATTTCTTAGAAGCAAAATGGGCAAGAACGCTAATTTTTACATCATTCTATAGAGAACTAACTTGCCCTTTACAAAGTGAACCATCGAAGGAAAGGGAAAGGAAATGAAACGGAAATGTTGGCAGTTTTCTAAAAAAGAACTTCAAGATTTGCGTGTTTTTTTTGTGAGTTGCAAAATCGACTCAAACATGACGCTGCTTTTTTCAAAGTCTCTCAAGCCCCAATTGAGCCACAGAATGTTTAAAAATTTGTAAAATTTGAAGAATGTTTAAAAAATTGATATGATAAATTTTTAAACATTATCGTATTTTTGTTTAACTTGCTCACTATTGGAATTCGAACCGACAGCGACCTGATTCAAGGCGCGCTTTCACTCCGAAGATTTTTAACATTTTCACTTCCATATCGCTTTAGCGGTTAACATTTTTTTATTACACCAAATTTCGAAAGATAGTTCTAGATACGATAACGAAAATTTCATTACAACTGTTCCGATATTTGCAAGCGTTTCGGAGTAATAACGTTTTCAAACTTTCAGGGGCTCGACAGAAACGAAGCTCTAGTCAATCCTAATTTATTTTTATGTCATAATAAAGTGCAATAAGTTTTCTTCCTAATTCCTAGCAGATTTACTGTAATCGTAGTAATGTAATAAGAATACTTATTTATTTATTATAAAATTATTTATTAACAGGCAGTGACGACAAACACGTTGAAAAAAGCGATTATTTGCAAAAAAAAGTTTATTGTAAATCTGTAGCTAAATTTTGCGGCATTTATTTCAGGTTTTTTGTATAGAACTAAATGACCAGGCAACTGTTTAATAAACGTATGATTTTTCAGGATTAAAAATCATCCAGAATACCCTTTCAACGAGTAGACATGGAAAAGTTTTCGGATTCGCATGCATCTGAACCATCGGCTGACTGCGGAGACAAATTTCCGTGCCAAATACTGGAATTGTTAGAGATAGTTATATAAATTTGTACTAATATCATGTAAATGTATCTTTTGTAACAAATTCCAGTAAATATTATCCTAAACAGCTTTATGTTTATCAGTGTCCCTAATTTTTTTCTAGCTGATGTAAAATTTTTGTAAGCCAAATAAATTTTCTTTGGTTGAAAATAATATTAATTATTTAATTTTTTATCTAACTATTTTTTTATATATCTGGTTTTAATATTTTAATTGTTTGAACTATCTAAAAACCAAAGAAAACAACATTGGGTGCAAATAAAAATCCAAATGACTCTAAAAAAGCGGAATTTTTTATCAATTTAACAAGTTACCAATTACATGATAAATAATGAAAAAACAAAGTTAATTTAAATATTTATTAGTTATTTTTTGCTATTTCTGTGGTTCACCGTTCAAAACTAATAAGAACAATGCTGCCAAAATTACTATTAGCAATATTGGCAGCAGTCGTTAGTAGTTCGGTTGGTGTCACTGACACAGACATTTGACAATGTGTTATATGTCATTATCATAGAACGTATTATTTCAATATGGCTAATGTTTCCCATTAGATTTATGTTCAGGGGAAGGAGAAAAACCGAAAAAAATATTTTATTCTGAATAACCTCAGCTGTTTGAAATGAAAAATTGTTAAATGCATGCCATACTAGAATAACCATGTGTGAAGAATGCTCAGATTTTGTACAGCTACTTGTTTCATGTAAGTTATATCTCTACTGGTTTTTAAAGGGCAGAATTTTGTTGCCGTTTTTATGTGAATATTTTGTTAATGTATATTTATTTACGCATTGCTGACTCTATATGGGTAATATCTTCGGAGCAATTGTCGCTGCTTTTGATAATTATGTATAACATTTCTCGTAATACGTGTTTCTCATGCAAATACTTTGTGGAAGAATTCCTTTCATCTTTTCAGCAGAAGAAGTTTTTTTCTAAACTCCAAAATATTCTTGCATTTATATGGCAGTAGACATCTGCAGTGTAAGCAAGTTAATATAAGTTACTGAAATAATGCTAAATATCAATGAAACGGGAATACACATTGGAGTAAAAATTAGCGCAACCCAGTTTAACCTTACTAGAACACTTCCTAATTCCTTCCCTCACTCACAATTTCTGTGTCTACCATCTATTAAATTTAAACAAATGCCAAGGGCGTATAACACTAATAAGTAGACAAAGGGTTAGGGAGCGGATTTAATATATTTTTTAGTTTTTTTTATTATTAAAGTATGTGCAGTGTAGAACACATTCTTTTATCCTCAAAAAGCTTTATAGATTTGTGATTTTTCAAAGCTTTGCATTTTTAATTTGTTTCTCGTATATGGAAATATGCATTATCTGCGAACTAGCACCAATGGATTAATATCGCGCCACTTCTTATTCTATTTAGTACTTTTGCTAAGTTATTGCATTTGCAATTAATTTATTGTAGATTGAAATAAGAAGAATACTCAATATTTTTCGATAAATACATGTTTTTGACTTGTCCCTAGCAAGCACTAGCTGGGCACACATCAGTTGTGCTTAGGGTGCAAAAACACGTCTAAACGCCTGTAAGTGATCCATTCATGATCGGTTTTCCTACGGCAGATCAACGAGGCCACAATGTGCAGATTTGAGATTAGTTGGTATTCACTGAAAAAAAAACGTTCCTAGGATACTCCCTCGAGTACCGTTCGCTTCACGATCACGTCGCGTTATTCTGGATGCGGCATGAGGTTGCTATCTATTCAGCTTTCGATGAAAACCGTTAACTTACGAGTTAATTGTACGTATCAACCCCTCTGAGACATTCCTTCTTTTTCCAGTGGGTTTTCTAAACAGAATGAACACATGTTTATTTATTGTTAAGCATACAAACCTGAACTTTTTGCCAAATATACGCCTTACAATTTTATTAGCAGAGTTGATATATTAGACTATATCCCTCCATCAGCTACCAGATGGATTTTAAAAATCTTTTGGCGATGCAAAACCAAAAACCTGATGTCTGATAAATTTATTAATGTATATTTTATTAAATAAGCGTTTATTTGTAAGAGATAGATCATATTTATTATTTCAGATGAGGCACAAGTGTGTAGGGATCCAACGGAGCAACCAATCTTAACTTTACGCGACATAAATACAGTATTTGTGTATGTCCAAACATGGCCTGCCAGGTAAGGTCATTAGCTAAAAGATTACAAATAATTTTTGGAAAATTATTTTTCTGTTTCAGACAATGTATGTGCTGTTATCGCGACTCGAAAAACTTAGAAAGGTTCAGTTATCTCACACAAGGGCTAATCTGCATGTGTGTTTCTCAACTTAAGCAGCTAGTGGAGAGAAGCACTGATAACCAAGATGCCGATATTCAGACCAACAATAATGAGATCAAGATCGGCGAAAAAGATTCCAATACGGGCGGCACTCAGAATTCAGAGGAAAATGAGAAAGAGAACGCCGAAGCTGTGGAAAGAGACAAATTGTTAATTCTGGTTTCGAAGATATTTTTGCTGAATTTTCCTCTATATGTAGCACTTAAACATACTATTCAGTCAAAAGTTGACGAATTAACGCAACAAGAAATGGCAAATTTGAATCTGTTTTGTGACCTGAATGATTCAGAGATTCCGATTTATCTTTTAAAAAATGTTAGCTGGTTTTGTAAGATCGGGGGATTGTTGACTATGAATGACTGTTTTACACATTTAAATACTAATTATTTACCTGTTTCAACGGCACATGCAATGATATCAATTGGTAAGCATGCCTGAGAGCGAGTATAATTTTATTTTATTCCTGGCCGTTAAATTATTAATTTATTTACGTGTTTCAGTATGCAATCTGAAGCTTTGGATGAATTATAAAACAATGGTGTCATTGTTAGTGCCTCTTAGGTCATGCGTCTTAAGGTATATGTGCAAATTGTCTGACCAAGATTTGAGAACCCCGACTATAAAAAGTATGGCAGGTGAGCGTAGCGCACACATTTGAATATTTTTTGCAATTTTTACAATTTTGTAATATCTGTGCTGTCCTTTCAGATTTCATGTGGAATGCAATTAAAGATCCACTTGATTCGCCCATTGCTTTTGATGTCGATGGGTTGGATTTGGCTTTCAAATATTTCACATCCAGCACTCTCACTATGAGGTGACTGATAAGCTATTACCAATTTTAAGATAGCCATGATCTCTTAACTTGTGATGGTTTTACTAATCTGGGATATTTCTGCAGATTGGCCGGCATTTCTCAAATAAACAACCAAATTGGTGTTTTAGCTGAGATTTGCGTAGGAGAGACATTACCTGAAGCTGAAGCTGTTCCACGGCACATGGGAGATTGGCTAATCAACAACAACATTATTTCCCACATTTTCGGGCCTAACTTACATGTTGAAGTACGTTCTATTAATTACGAATGTTTTTCTATCCTATATGCATTACTTCTACAGGTGATCAAACAAAGTCACATCATCTTGAATTTTCTTGCGATGGAAGGTCGCATTACTTGTGAGCATATGGACATTATTTGGGCCGCTGCTCAGTTGAAACATTGCGCAAAACCCGTCCACGATTTACTTCCCGGACTGGTGAAACACTTGGCAGCTGCACCTACTTTGCATCTCTATAATTTGCTTACAAAACTAGAACCGAAAGAACACACAGAGCAAACATTGTATTTGGCCAGTGCACTGACGAAAGCTGTCTGGTCTAGAGGTATGTCCTGTGCTACGAAGTGGCAATAACATTTTATTATTTTTGTATCTGTCATAATCTATTTATTGTATCTAAGCCGTTTCTATAATTAAGGGAAACGAAAGTGATACTTTCTATTATCAAAATTGTCACTCAAATTCGAAGGGCGCACTGAACTTTTATCATATTATTTGTTGATTTTCAGGTGGGGCATCTCCAGATATAGGCTTAATAAATGTCGCAGCTTCCAGTGCGGGAATATCGTTGCATAAATGTGCAGCTACCTCTTCGGAAAATAGGTAAGGGAAGTGGGAAAAAGTCATTTAAGTAACAAGCATTATCAGGATTACATGAAATGTTCTCTGTGTTCTGACTAACTGAACCAAAGACGGTTTGGTTTACTTTTATTGGTCAGTTCTCGGAAAAGAAATGAAATAATCCGACGTTATTTGCAGTGTTTCACTAGATGGAAGTAATTCGGAGGAAGAGCATGGAGAAAGCACAGGGCATTCGGAAAGTCACAAATCCGAAAGCGAAGAGATTGATGCCATGGAAATTGAAGAAGAAGAACAGGGGCAAATTGTAGTAGACAGTGAAAGATCCCCATCATGTAAATTACCCAGGTAAATAAATTCGATTGGCTTTACAATAAAAGAAGGAAACTGTTAATTTTTCTATTGGATTTTTATACATGTTTTTCCAAAATTAACCTGGAACTTTACGTATATCTAAACTGCTCAACCAAATCAAAAGTACGCACTGACAAGTTTGGCCTAATTTTGGAGCTAGATAAAGTCTGACTGCTTAGAGCTAATTAATTTCTGTTAGAAGCGGTATTTAGAGCATTTCTTTTTCGGTTAGTGCGTGATTTTGCAAAAATTAGTGCGTCAGATAAAGTTTCTACAGTGTCGCAAATCAAACAATGCAAAATTGGTGATAGTTCCGCGTATTCTCAGTTGGACAAAGAAAATTATTTTTTGCATTTCATCACTACAAACATTAAGACAGACCTTATATCTTGAGGAGCGTTTTTAAATTTTTCGCTCATCTCGTATATGATAAAAATTATAAAAATCTACTTTTTAGTCTTGCAGTGGTATTTTTATTCTCTTGATTCAATTTCAAAATCTAACAAACAAATCAAAGATCAAAATCTAACAAACAAACAAAACGAAAATGTAACAAAAAAACAAAATCTAAGGTTTATATTGAAGCTAAAAGTTCACAGTGGATGTGAGGCAATAATAATTCAATATACCGAGTTGTATGAATAATCGAAATATTTTAAGTAGACTTCAGTTAGTTGAAATTCTTCCAGAACCGCAGATTTGGGGGGCAATTCTGATTTGGGTTATTTTATGAGCAACCATGCATATCGAATTTTCGTCTTAAATCTATGAATCGTCTATGAAATATGAAAAGTTGTTTTTTTTGAGACCACCCTATAGAACAGATGACCGGAAAATTCGAAAATCGTTTTGAAAATTTTGCTGCTGAGATCCAAAAAAAAAAACTTTTGCTCAACTAGGAGCATGCCGAACTTTTCACAGAATTTCACATTTTTCTATTTGTCGCCCTGCAGAAAACGTGTATGAGGTGATTAATTTTTACCAAAACATTGACTAACAATAAGAAAATGAAGCTCAATAACGCTTGTAATGTAATTTCTGTGTAATGTTCAATTGTTGAACAGTTTATTACCCGTGCCACAAATTCGTTTACAAATTTATTTCCATCACTGTAAATTGGCTTTGATTGTTTTTTAAGTACTTCAGCTTACTCATTAAACACGGTTTTTCAAAATTCGAAATTACTATTTTTCGATTTTAGGAAGCAGATAATAGAGCGAGTGAATTGTGAAGGCCCAAATAGTAGTACTGATACGGAAATCGATGGAATTCCGATAAAAACTCCTGTACACGAAAAAGTGAAATGGCCAGCATCGGTTCAAACGAAAAACGAACGAAAAGCCCACGCCCGCAAAATGATTTTGTCTGCCATAAACGTTATGTCTGAAGGAGTAGAAGCCATTGGTTCAAGCAGTAGCCAAGAAGACATGGATGTCGATGATAATTCAAATAAAAGCCGAAAGCGGTATTTGAGTTTATACAGTTTTTAATAATTCACATATTTATTTCACACATAATTTATTGGATCAAAAATTAAGCTAGAATGAAGGTAGAATATTAAAACTGCAATTTCAGGCGAAAGTTTTTGAGGAGAGGACGTGGTAAACGTCAAAAAGGTACTAGTAAGAGAGGAATGAATCGGTTAGCAGGTGTAGAAGCGTTAAGTGATGTTGAAGCAGACAGTGACCATGAGATAAAGAACCTGAAAACACATTCGGTACAGGAAAGCATGTTACCTGCGGAAATCAATTCCCTGGTAAATTGTAACATTCGAACTTTAACGAGATTTCATTTAATTGTTGTTTCAGGTTCATCAGACACCTGGGCTCAAACCTAATGTATATCTGGAAGAAAGTTCATCATGCAGTGAATTGGGAAAAGAAGAACACCATCATGTAGCTCAATCATCAGCATGTGGTAACTATATAACAATCCATTCCAATGGGGGACATATTTTAGAAATGCTTAGTGGCGAGGAAACCGAAGTTGATGGTAAGCATCATCAATAAGTTCGTTAACTTTGTTAATAGGATCAGCGTACAATCTGTTAAGATTTTGATGTATTTTAAATTTATATGTATTCTACACTGTATTTCTTTCAAGGTGACGCTGAAGGCAGCTATTCATCTAGAATGAGTAATAAATCGGAGAAAAATATGGCAGATTTTGACGGAGAAGATTCTGTTTGTGAAGAAGAACTTGCTCAGTTAACTGAAAATCATCCGAATTTAAACTTGCACATTATCGCACATACACCGGAAAAGGCATGTTACACATAATAACATGTTCGGGGTTCTTTTCGTTCACAAATAAACAACTTCTTTAAGTACTTTATAGTTTTTACTTTACATTTGTTTTACGTAAGTTAATTTTTTTAAATTATTGCGTTTCAGTCCTCGCCAGTCCGAATGATTGATCCCAGATTATCCGCCTGTTTCAAAACTGATAGTGTATGCCAGCCTGGAAAAACACTACTATGGGATTTATTACAGGATGACAAAATTTCTCAGCTTGGAGAAGGATTGGCCCTTGAAGCTGAAAAGACCCTGTGTAATCTGATTTGTTTTATGCAAGACAAGGATATTCGAATGAAATTTATTGAAGGTTTGTAATGACGAGTAAGAAAATGGTTACTATTCTGTTGGCTATTTAATTTCAGGTTGCTTAAATAATCTCGCCAACAATGTATCGGTTGTGGTGTCGTTGCGAATGCTTCCAAAGCTCCTAACTTCTTTTAGAGGAATCGAAATGCATCATGTAACTCAATGGGCGGAAAAGCAGCATCATATGATGACCCATTTCTTTAATAACCTGAAAGGTATGATAAGCTTTATATTAATGTGTAAATAAACATTTCAAAACAAGTTTTATAATATTAATAACATTGCAGCATATACTAGTAATCCTGATAAGTCTCTTCCGTTATACACTCATCAGCTACAGGTCCAAGTTAGATTACATTTCTTGTCAGCAGTGTTTTCTCCCGTTGTATCACCTAATACCTTCAAGTAAGTGTTATTAAACTGATGTACTTCACTTATTTTACCTTTGATTAATTTTCAGACTAAGCATAGATCAAGTAGATACCTTGTGGCAGTGTCTAGCACATGATTCCGAATGTTCAGATGAGTTGTTTAGTTGGCTGCTTTCGCAGACTAAAACCAATGAGTTACATGCATTACGAGTGGATGCATTGCGGAGGTAAATGTTATATTAACAGTAGTAGTAACATCTATTAGTCGTCATATTTATTTCAGGCTATATCTACATCATTTACCAAGTCTTCCCCCCGAAAAATTTAGTATGATTTGCTTGACCCTATTTCAGCATTTGTGTGGATTGCATCATCTGATGACGGCAAATTTAGAAACTGAAGATAAGGAAAATAGAAACGTCGGCATGGAACATATGTGGAAAATCGCTTTAAAGGCTAATAATACTGGTAAGGCTAATAATATCCATTGAGATCCGTATTTCTAAATATGTTTGTAACTCTTGCTTTTTAGATGTTAGTACGACTGCCATAGGATATATAAACAGTTATTATATGGGTCAAAATCTCCAGCACGAAAGTCAATTTGTTTCTCAATGTATGACTAACTTGAAAGCATCTTCCGATGACTTACTTGCGGATAACAGTCCGAATGAAGAGGGTTCTCTGCTGTGTATACAGCGAGCTTTGCTTTTAATGCAAACTCATATAGAAACATTTAGTAAAAGGTAGCAATCTTTTGATACCTTTTTTTGTTTGCGTATTTAAAAATAAGTTTATTGTTTTCTTTGCTAACTTGCGGACAGTTGTCAGTGGTTTAGTTGTTATGTTTTATATGTGTATGTTTTAGGTATGCATATCACTTGAGAAAGTGGGCTTTAGAAGGAAAAGGAATTGGGAGCCACTCTGCGGCGCTTGGTGAGAGAGGACTAAATCCAATTCGTATTGTTGTTCAGTCGGGAAGTTGCGCGGAAAGATGTGTCTTAGAAATGCTACTAACTGGTAAACATATTTAATTGTTTAAATGTATTCAAACCTGTCTTATTTTATCTACATTTTATAACTAAAAAATATTAATATTGTGACATTCATTGGTGGACCTATTTTTCAGATTATGTAGCTGACTTACGTGCTGAAATAGTAAAGTGGTGGGAAGGCATATTAAAAATTCGGTCTCAAGAAGACGGAATGGATGCGGGCAACAACGCAAATACCGGAAAAAAGCCTGATACTTGGATCCGCATTATAACTCAAGGTCTGTTTGATACTTTAATATATTGGGTGCTGTTTTTTAACTTGAAAGACTTAAATATTTAGGAAATTTGTGGTCCTATGAAAACATGTGTCAAATAAAAAGTTAATATCTGAGAGGAGGAAGTTTATTCGTGTTAAAAAACCGCCTACTTCGACCTTATAAGCTAGGTAGGGGGCCAACTTGATAATTGCAAATAGTAACCACATCATTTTCAGAGATTCTGCAGATTCGAATGAAATTATGAAGTTGACATCTGCCTAGCCTGCAAGATCGAAGTTGGCAATTTTTTTCTAACACGAATAAACATCCACCTCTCCGATATTAACTTTTTATTTGACACATTTTTTTGTACAATCGCTGATATCCAAAATATTGCAGTGTTTCAAGTTTAAAAAAACCACCCGGTATATGCACATATACTGGGTGGTTTGTATTATCCATTAAATATGGAAGTTCATTGGAGCTATTTATTTACAGGACAAGAATTGTCTATCGACTGTGATGAAAAGACCTTACAAGAAATGGGATTTAAAGACAACCAAATTACATATATTTCAGTGGGAATGTCGAGAAATATGAAAAAAAGGGAATTTCTCGATGCGCCCTCTATGCAGGCGTCTCCACCGAGAGACTGTTTACCGACGCTATTGCTTCTAAAACCAACTTATTTTGAACAATTGTTTTCACTTATGCATACTCTCAGCTCAATGAAGACGGTTATTAAAGGTATCTTTGAACAGTTATTTTAACTTTTTCATACATTATTACATTAATTTTTTTAGGTGGAAGAGTTATTCCCCACACAAAAGCCCAAGTTCTAAGTAGACGTGTTTGGGACATACTCAGCCTAATGCCAACTAGTCCGAAATTATTGCAAGGATTTCAACAGCTGAATATCCCTTTGTCAGAGTTGTTGGATCCTTCAAGCGCGCAAAAACTGATGTATTCGCTGTACATTGTAGATTCTCTTGCTCTTAATCAAAAACCAAGCAAATTTAATGACGACGATGAATTGCCTTGGACGAGAAAGTTTATTCAACATGGCGGATTAAGATATCTTTATGATATATTTATGTCTGGTACGATTACACTTATTAATACTATGTTTTTATTGGTGTAATTATAACACCCAAACTTTAATTTAATATTTTTTTCTCTGACTAAATGTTGCTCATTAGGGGTTCTGCAAAGAGACACTGGAGATGGTAGCGATTGGCAACAAGATTGTTTGGCATGTCTGTTAAAGTTGATGTGGCATCTAGGAGTAGATCCACTTCCCAATGATCGTAATTCCAGGAATGATAAAATTGTGATACCAAGTTTCAATGAGGCTATGCTTAACATGGTAAGATAAATTACTTTTTTTACGTTATTTCATTATATGTATGTTGTACATATTTTTGAAATAAAGATTATTATTATTATTACTATTACTTAAGGAAGATTGTTGCCAGGGGGTTTTAATTTTTATTAAATATTCTTTACCTTATCTTATTTAATTTGTTTTAAGGTTGACGTAAAATCGACAATGCCCAAGCTAACATGTATCTTGAAAGAAGTTTCTTTGCCGAAAGATCCAAATCATTACAAGACTGGGTTTTGGGGCAGAGCTCAAGTAAGTAATGAATATGCTTTCAAGTTTTGAATTGATTTAATGTTGTTTATTTTTGCACAATCCTAAAATTTTATTTGTATGATTTTGGTTTATTTAAACATACGGCAGTAGTCAGATATGTAAAGGACAATACAATGTACAAAATTTCTTCTTCTGCAGTTGTATTAAGCAATTATCAAATACAATGCTATAGGTATAACAACTTCACAATACTTTGCTGTAGTACCGAAATTCACAATACAATATTTAGCTCATAAGAACGAAAAGTAAATCACTTTTCACCTGCAAAAGACTCCAATATATTGAAAATGCTTTCAATCTGCCATTTTGCCAATGCAATGCGAATGCAAGAATATTTTTTTCAATAACGTAGTTTATTGAAGATTTACAAAACTAAGAACAATGCAAATAATAATCCATTAATTATCAATAAAGATACACTTAAAGAACTTATTTATATAAAGACGATTTAAACTTTATTAAAAAGTTTCAACCAATGGATCTCATCAATTTTAAAAATAAACTATGATGACTTTGGAAGACTTGAGAAACATTTTAATGCATTTTAGGTTGTCCATTACGCTATGGCTTCATTGATATCTTGGTTACACTGCAGCGAAGAAGCCAGACAAGGTCTCTTTGAATCTCCTGATTTCTCATCTTGGTTACAAAGGTTGGTATTAAAAAGTACCAGCAGATGAAAATGCGCCATTTCACAAAATATTTTTTTTCTGCTCGAGTTTTAAACAACCACGTAATAAAATGCGACTTTCAGATTGGTGTTGGAGGACCCAGAACCGACAGTACGTAGAGAAGCTTGTTCGTCCATATATCATTTATGCTTGGGCGTATCAACCATGGGAGAACACTTGGGAGCTAGTTTAACTGCTCCGATGTTAGCTCAGCTTTTGGCTTATTTACCAAAAGCAGAAAGTATGAGACCCCAAAAGCTGGAATCAATGCCTCCACAAGAAGATGGTAAAGAACCTTATGGTCCAGCTTGTAGAGATTATTTCTGGCTAGTCTCACGGTAAGTTAATTGATGTAGGTACAACAATTTTGTTTCAGGATAACTTTTCTATTACAGATTGGTTGATAGTCTGCCTGAAGATTTAATAAAGGAGAGCATAGAGGATCCACAAAATTGCGTGTTGGATATCAACGACTTAACGTCTAAAATTTCACAGGCTGTTTTATCAAGAGATTATTTAGAAGCTCGGCATAGAACTGTTGAAGACGATGGGCTTATTGGTCTACTTAATTTGCTCACAAATTTACTAAAACATAGGCCCCCATTTCAGACGAGCAAAGGCGGACAAGAACTTTTGAATGAGGTATACAATTTGTCTAGGAAATTGTTCAGTTGATCAATCTGTTTTTATTTTTAGGTGTTTGATTTTTTATTTGCTTTGCCTAACCCGAAACTCCGACATGTGCCAAAATGTAAATCTCCCCGATCTCGAACTGCTGCTTTTGATTTATTGGTCGAACTAGTTAAAGGTTCCTCTGAGAATTATACCATCTTGTACGAAAAACTATTGAAACAACATCAACCAGGTATAGTCAACAGTGATTATTTCCTTGGGGGAATTCATAATTTTAATCAGTGTGGCACTGGTTTTTTATTAAATAAACCCAAAGAGTAATAAGGAATTGATTGGTTTAAATATAGGCCTATTCTTATTTTACAGTTTATCTTATTATTATTTCTGCATTTTACAGTTATTGCTTCTGAATTAATATACGTCGAGGCGAATGTGTGTGACCCCAATAAGATCTTTTTATACGTTTAGCATTTTTTTCTTCTAAATGGTTTTTCTTTAAGGTCCAAACTCGCCATACCCCTGGGATTATTGGCCTCATGAAGATGGGCGTTCTGATTGTGGATACGTTGGTTTAACTAATTTAGGTGCAACCTGTTATATGGCATCTTGCATGCAACATTTATATATGATGCCTCAAGCTCGTGCTTCCATTTTGGCTGCTTGCACTCAGGATTCCAAACATGAGCCCACTCTCAAAGAGCTTCAGAGAATGTTTGCGTATTTGCTGGAAAGCGAAAGAAAAGCTTACAATCCCAGAAGTTTTTGTAAAGTATGTTAACATTTAAATTTTATACGTTTACTTTTATTACTGTACACGTCGGGTTTTTACTTAGTAGTAATATTCTCGTAAATTAACATTATGTTATAATTATTATATGGTGTAAAGTTTGTTTCCATTTTGAAAGGTATATACAATGGATCACCAGCCTCTAAACACAACGGAACAAAAAGATATGGCCGAATTTTTTATTGATTTGGTGAGCAAGCTAGAGGAAATGACACCCACTTTAAAAGAAGTGATTAAAATACTATTTTGTGGTGTTCTGAGCAACAATGTTGTATCTTTAGATTGTGGCCATGTCAGCCGTACTTTAGAGGAGTTCTATACGGTTAGGTGTCAAGTAAGTTTTTCTTGGAACGATAGCTGCGGAGGTTCTTAATTATTTTTTTAGGTGGCTGATATGCGAAATCTGTACGAATCTTTGGATGAAGTGACTGTGAAAGATACTCTTGAGGGTGACAATATGTACACCTGCTCGCAGTGCGGCAAAAAAGTGCGAGCTGAAAAACGAGCTTGTTTCAAAAAACTACCTCAAATTCTTTGCTTTAATACAATGAGATATACATTTAATATGCTGACAATGCTGAAAGAAAAGGTAGTGGTGTTGCAAAATCAAAAAGGCGCTATTGTAACAGTTATTGCTTGTAGGTTAATACACATTTTTCGTTCCCATTAAGGCTAAATATGGCTGGCTATGTTGAAAAAACTTTAATGCCACAACATTACCAGGAAGATAAACTAAAAGATGACCCGGAGACTGAACAGTACGAATATGATTTGATAGGCGTCACCGTACATACTGGTCAGTTCAAGTTTATGGCATTGCCTATAACACAGTAAATTAGTGTTGTCAATAAGAAATTATGGTTTATACATATAGCAAAACAAAAGGTATATGTATCAGAGATACGCCGTGTTCTTAATGTGTGGGTAGGTTTAAGTTGTAAGTGTATTTGTAGGTACTGCAGACGGTGGTCATTACTACAGTTTCATAAAAGATCGCACTGTGGGATCGAGGGATAAATGGTTTCTTTTTAACGACGCTGAAGTGAAGCCTTTTGATCCGAACCAAATTGCCGCAGAATGCTTTGGTGGTGAAATGACGAGCAAAACGTACGACAGCGTTACTGATAAGTTTATGGACTTTAGTTTTGAAAAAACTAACAGCGCTTATATGTTATTCTACGAAAGGTAAAGTGCTGTTCAAAAGCTTTAAATTGCCAGCAAATAGGACGTGTTTTTTCAGATGTCCTCTTATTGCTAACGATAGTACTGAAAGCTCTTCCACGAATATAGAAGTTATGGAAGCTACCAGCAGTTCACCTACACCAAGCACGACGTTCGAATTAAGCAAGGAACTAGAAGATTGGATTTGGCAAGATAATATGCATTTTATACAGGATAAAAATATTTTTGAGCACACATATGTAAAGTAAGTTTTTCTACCTTTTTCAGTGTACAGTGGAGGTTGGTAATTTTATAATACCCGGTTTTTGTGGCCTTATTTTACAAAATTTGTCTTTTTTTTTTCGTTTATTAAAAATCCTACTTTCTGAATAACGATGTAATTATTTTTAGTTTCATGTGGCAAATTTGCGGCTACATTCCCCAGACCATCCTTTCGATAGACTCCAATATCACAATCAAAGCAGCACAATTGTCTACATCATTTTTCATTGAAACATTTATTCATGCCAAAGAAAAGGTAAATACTGTTTAATCAACATTTCTGTGTTTACATTTGAATTTTTTTGTTATAGCCCACTATGGTTCAATGGGTGGAACTTGTTACAAAACAATTTAACTCTTGCCAAGAAGCTTGCGTATGGTTCTTAGAACACATGGCTCAAAATGTTTGGTGGCCAGTGCAGGTTCTCCTCAAATGTCCTAACCAGATAGTGCGACAAATGTTCCAACGGCTGTGTATTCATGTGATACAGAGACTTAAGTATGTGTGATAACTATAACAATTATTTATTGGTTGGTTGAATTTCTTTACTTTTATAGACAGTCTCACTCTAGTTTGTACTTAAGGGTTGATGAAGGAACAGATTTGTCGAAAATAGAAGGCTCTCATAGTATCGATATATCTAAGATCGGTAATGCTTCGTGTGTTACAAAATTTGTAAAAACTCTATTGTCTTTGGTAAGTTAATGACCTACTTAACACTGCTTTTGCTAGAGTTTTACCATATGTTTGTTATAGATGGAACACGGTGCGAAGGCTCATTTAAAACATCTCACAGAATATTTTAACTTTTTATACGAATTTAGCAAAATGGGCGATGAGGAATCAAAATTTTTACTCGCAGTCGCTGCAATCAACTCGATGGTCCATTTCTACTTAGGTCAGAAGGCCAACGATTTTGTAAGGAGAAAATTTTATAATTAGCGGCCAATAATGATAATTTAACGTCCCGAATGAGGATTTGTATATTGCTTCTTTACATTTAAATGTTACATTTAGAAACAATTCGTTGTATTATTTGTTTAGGTTGATGTTAGCGAAGGAGAAGAAGATGATGAGTTGGTCTCCATTCCTCCAGAAAAATACAAACCAGCAAGTTTAGACAAAATGATAACCTTAATTGCTTCATTAGTCGAAAAAAGCAGGGATTCTAACATGAAACTACAGCTAACTGAAAGAGATTACAATGCTGTAGCTGGAGGAAAGGTAAACATTGTTATTGTTGTATTTGCACTTTTATCAGGAAGTTTTCTTAAAGCCGTCACGTGAATTTGTCAGATCTCGGATTTTAATCTAGACTTTTTTGAAATTGTTGCTGGTTCTACATATTAATTGCACGGCAATATTATAATTTCTGAAGGTGTTTTTGAGTATATACAACCCATGTGCCGTGCTAGGCGGCCCGAATTGGAATGACGAACGCTTCCTAATTTTTAATGCTTTAAATACCCCGCAAATTACAATTCGGATCGACATTCTGTTAAACTTTCTGACTTGTATTTCTGGTTTCAGGGATTTTCGTTTTTGTACCAGCAGATTAAAGATAACATCAACTTGCAGCAAACGAGAAATCTAATACATTCTCTCTGCAAAGGCAATAATCAGCTGGCACAAAGCATTATCTGCATGATTTCTCAAGCTATTACTAGACATTCTGAGGTAATTATTGAGTTAACAGTAAAAAAATTGGTATGTTATGTATCAGTATTTTCTTATTATGGTACAAGCATAAAGGCAGTTTGATACATGTTAAGATCCAATGAAAACGTTGATGTTTTTTTCATGAGCCAGTGCTAAAAGTATGCTCGATAATTTGGAACACTTGAACATTTCTGCCGATTAATTGCATCAAACTAGAGTTAAACATGTATTTTAAATTTTAAACTTAAAAATATTTCCGTTTTCTGTTCGATCTCAATGCCTTAACCACCCTTCAGGTTAACTTACAGGGGTGCCAACCCTTCTTCAAAATACTTACCCTATTGACGGAGAACACAAACCAAGGCAGCGCAAGTGGTTCTAACCAGCCCTGTTTCACGCAATTAGTACTGCAAAAGGTTTGGGATGCTGCTGAATGTTGTCCACATTCAGCCCTGGATTGGCTGGCTTTGCAAGTTACTAGAAATCGTCTGGTCCATTCGTGGGTATTAAGCTCGATGGATTCATGGTTGGAGCATTTTTTGATTGCTCACAATAACCAGAGAGTTAGAAATAGTAAGTAACGATTTAGAGTTAAAATAACAAGTTTAACTTAAAACTATTTTGCATATGGTAGAGCTTAAAACTTGAAATGTTCTTTTAATTTACAGCCTCGACTGGTATTACTATGTCAAGGGTTATTTCGTTATTTTATGAAATTTTGTTTTTTTTATAGCTGCTGGATATCTGCTAGTATCTTTAGTTCCTAGCACTCCCTTTAGACAAGGTTTTAGAGCATCACACAGAATGAATCGCGAACCTCAATTAACAGCCGAGTCTCAGGCTGTTTTGCATCAAGTATATACTGCGCTTTTAAGGTGAGAACGATATTCATTGAACTAAAAATAATTTTTGTTCTTATATTAATTAAGCCTTCCATTAAAGAAACTAAAACTACTTTTATCTGTTTAGGTTGCTTCCGGCTGCCAAACATTATACAGATATGCAACTGCACGGATCTATGAAACTGACCACATATTTTGCCCTGCTGATGTATTGTTGTATTTCCCGAACGGAAAAACTAATGGTAAATATTTTGACCTATATACTATGAGCTCTTTTATTAACAACAATTTGGCATTGCAGTTAAATTTTTAAATTGTCTGCGTTACTCTGATGAATTTAAATTTCAGTTTGGTCAGTACTTTTTGCAATTGTGGCACTTGTTTCATCCGAAACTTTCGGAACCGTCGATTCCAGCATATCACAATAAACAGGCTTTGTTAGCGTTTTGGAATCATGTATGTACGGATTGTCCCGATAACGTTCAACTGATGCTATCCAATGCACATGTTACAAAGAACATTGCATTTAATTACATTCTGTAAGTATTATATTTGCTTCAGTTTTGATTTTCAAGGCGAGTAATACGATCAATTCATTCCATTTAGAGCCGATCATGATGATCAGGAGATAGTTTTATATAACAGAGCCATGTTGCCTGCCTACTATGGAATACTAAGAATGATGTGTCAACAATCCCGGGTATTCACACGAAATTTGGCCAACCATCAGAATTTGCAATGGGCTTTTAAAAATATTACTCCTCATCCTACGCAATATCCACAGGTAAGAATAACAGCTATAAATAGTTCGTCGGAAAAGAACCGACGGTTCATTTTTATTATTCATTTATTTATTTATTATACTCTTACGTACACGTCACAAAAAATAAAGCAGTTCTTGGTAATAGTAACAAAAGAAAAAATTAGAACAATACCATACATAGTAAAACAAAAGAAGAAAAATAGGAAAACAATTAATACCGAAACATAGCACATCTTAATAGGCGCAATCGAACTGTTCAAACAAGTCAACATCGTGAGTTTTTCTGATCGTGTTGCACATTCTTACAAACGCTGATATGCTGAATATATTACAATAAAATGAAGGTTGACATCTTATTCTTAAGTGAATCTTAGGGACTACAAACTTATTTTTATGTAAAATAGTAGGAGTATACAAACACGACAGAATACATTTGACGCCTGCATCACTAAGCCTGACAATAAAACTGAAGCTCTTGAACATACTTTCATAAGAAACCATGTATGAATATTGGTCATGTCTTGTATAGTACAAAAATTACACTGATCTTCAGCACATGAGTATAGACAGCAGCACGGCAATGGTACACAATTACCATGCATTTATTATTTAGGACATTTAAAGAAATACTGGTAGGATTTGCACGTTAAAAGTTAGTACTGAAGTGTTTGTTTATTTTTCAGGCAGTGGATGAGTTATTCAAGTTAATGCAAATAATGGTTATCAAGCATCCAGATGCTTCAGAGGCTGATCAGAGAGATATTTTCACTTTCAAACGGACTACTCTGATGACTTATTTGCAGGTAATATATATACTCAGATGAGTTCACTTTCAATGTTTAATGCTATTATCTATCTAAAATCATTTCCTTGGATAACCATAACTTAAAAACGTAGTAAATATTGGTTATTTTAAGTGTTTGGACGGCAGAACTAGTTGGGGAACCCTCATAAATGCATTTAGAATTCTTCTTGAAACTAATGATGATAAAATGTATGTGGCCTACAATGGTGGATTACAGATTGTATATGAGGTACTTGCATCAACCAATTAAGCGACACTTTGGTTAACTGAATGAAAACTTTTTTTAGTGTTTTCAAAACTTACATGTCATGCTTCACGAGGCGACTGCTTGCCATGTAGTCGGAGACATGTTGGATATTCTGCAAATATTTTACGACTTAATTCACTGCATTCGAGCTTATAGGGATAGCAAAGATGCTAGAAACCTGATCATGGCGACTAAAGATTGGCTTGAAGTCATTAGAAAACTGGCAACGCTCTTGAACACCTACAATCCACCGGAAATGAGAATCTTATGCATTGGTAAGTCAAAGCTATCAATATCTTGAAGGTTTTTCCGTCATGATATTTCTTTCCTTCACAAGGATTTTTTGAAGTTGAATTTTGAATAATTATTTTATCTATTATTATGCCAAATGGTTGCAATAATCGACAGGGAATACAAAAAATGTGAATTTTTTTGTTTTCCGCATTTGCCATCGTTTTGTTCAGAATAGGTATTACGATAGAGTCCGTTCATACAGGACAGATTGGTGGATGCGCAAAAAGAGAAAGTCTATTGCGCTAAAGGGATTCTATTTTAGGGTAGTACTACCCTGAACTAGTTTTATTGAGTTTCCCTTTCCAAGTCAACGAATAAAACGAACAGAACCAAAACAAATTTAATATACCAGGACGGGTGTTATGAAATAATATACGGACACGCCAATTTATTTACCGCAACAAACTACGATTTCATGACCTTTTCGAAATATTATTATTTACTTTAGATGCACATGATTACGGATCAAACATTTGCAAATAAAAATTGGCTATTACATTTAATGTAATAAAAAATAAGTACATATTAAAAGGTGCGATATATGAATCACTTTTACATATGCGATTTGGTATGAGGTTTATTTGTTAAAATATATTCGATTCATTTGGTTTGTTTGTTTCTTCTTACTTGCTTCCCTAATGCGACCAGCCGGTAATGATGTTGACTCCTTGTAATTATTTTTTATTCGTGCAATTGCAGCAATATACTTACTTAGCAAGTAAGATCTGAAGTTAATTTATTGAAATTATTAGATTATCTGTCGATTCTAGGGAACTTTTCCTTTCTGCTTCAATATCGGTTTCTATTTTTGTTGCTGATCATAAAAATGCGAAGAAGTTTTCTATTTTCTAGCTTAAAGGTGTGTTTCTCTCAGGACTGTCCTCGAGCCTCGAAATTGTACTTAGTGTAACGTTGTCCGTCCCGCGCCGTGATCTTTAAGCTAGAATATTCAATTAATTTATGTAACCTAATTTCGTATCGCTCTGTTATTCTACTTTTGCCAAACTGAAATAAATATATTTGATGATTTCGAAATAATTCTTCCAGCATTAATTATTATTGATTTTAACACTTAAGTGACTTAACTTAACACTTAACCCACTAGAGTTCTAGCCTGGGTGTATTTTTGCTTTATTCACACATCAGTAGCAACATAATATTTTACCTGCACTGCCTATAGATAATATCAGAAAGAGAACATTGCAAGTCACGGAGACTTGTGAATTTTTGTTAGTTTAATGTCTTATAATTTATTGATTGTAACGTTTTTGTTTTAGAAGTCTTAAAAGAGTTTCTCTTGGTGATTACTCCAGAAGCAATGCAGATATTAGTGCCCCTGCTTTCACATTGTCATTCGGCCTTTCAAGATAGTCACGATCCCGTCCCATTAGGTCCATATTTTCCGCGACGAGGTCATTCAGGGCCTGTTGTTGTAGGAAAAGGCGGTGCTCGACCACTTCGACCTATGATGCAGATGACCGTACCACAAAATCAACTAGAGTGCGCTAGGGTGAGAACATTTTAAGGCAATATTGTTGACAGATGTGTTTTAATGGATAATATTTTTCAGGGCGTCGATCCAGAATATGACAGGCTTCTGGACAAGTTTTTCATTCCCTACCATGACTTCATTGATACTATGTTTAGATTGGCGGTTAATAACGAGACAGTTCAGGAGGTGATGATTAATTTGAGTGCTGTAGTCGGATTTGAAGCTGTTCCTTTGCATTCCACTTACTTTCCTAAACTGTGGCTAGATATACTGAAAGCTCAGGTTAGTAGCATTATATGCTGCTCGTTACTTCATATGTAAAATAAATATAAACACTTTCAGCATATTGACAGAAAATATATCAATATATTGACATCATGCAACTATTTTGTCGATTATGTCGAAGCAGTACTTCTCGATGAACGATATGCCTTAACGGTCGATGTAATTTACGAATTTTTAACGGCGTTTTTTCCCAAGGTGAGTACAGTTATAATGAAGCCGTGCATGGTTTTAATTTTGTTACAAGCTTGGTTTTTATATTTGATTTTAGGAACATTATATATTTCTCTTCGTTTTAATAACAATGTTTGTTTTATTCTAGGTATCTGCTCATGTTTTAAGCGAACAAACTCTAAGAATGATTGATTCGATGGTAGAATCATTAAACGAGTCTGTTAACTCTCCAGATATCCTAAATAGCCCGAAAAGGCTAGCTGGAGACTTGCGAGCTTTAGCTTTGGTGTACAAAAGTCCCGAAGGAAAACATTCTAGCATTCTTAAGAACGCTTTGAATGTATTGCAATCAAAAGTCAAACTTGATATTAGTAAGTTGGATATAAGCACTAAGACAGCTAGTGCAACAAGCACACCCGTTGCTGCTCCTATCGGTGAGTACTGATATATTTTTATCATTTACTCTACACGAGTTAGCGATGGTGCCCAAGAAAACTAAAATGATCGGTTTGTGATATCGGAAGATTCATTTGGATTTGGAAATGAGCAAGGAAAATGCCGATATTTTTAAATTGACACGCGTTCACAAAACTACAACGGGTTTCTGGAGTGAAAACATTATGAATTAACGTAATTTGTCTAAACCAAAAGGGGACGGTTGTTTAAATACAGTTCAATTATTTTAAATTTGTATATAATAAAACTATTAAACAATTCCGAGACGAACAACTCCGAAATTTTTACTAGATTAATTCTTATGGGGGCTCAAAAACCCATTGGATGTGAGTTCATTATGTAAAAAATCAAGACGAATACAAGATTATGTCGATTTTCTCAGGAACAGCGAGGAACTTACGGCGTGAGTGCATTCAAATTATTGTTCAAATGGCTTTAAAAAGATCACTTGAAACTGTAACAAAAACCCAACTGTTAAAAATATTAAGTAGACGATTTATTAGCACAGATTATGCTGCACACTTTAAACTTTTTTTCAAGTTTTTAAGTATTTCAAGAAGAAATGCATGTAAGTACTTTTACCAACAGATTTGCTTTAATAAAGATGTGTGTAAATGCAAAAGTAGACGTAAAAATTACGCATTTAAGGGACATTTTCATGTGAGAGCAAGCAAAATTTTATATATGTATAGTATGTATACAGAATATTCCAGTTTTTATCATCATGGTTAGAGAAACGCATTTTAAGATATGCTTTATTTTCCCTTTTGATATACAGTGTTACAAATTAAACAAAAGTGTTTATGTTTTTTTATATTCAAACGATCACAACAATTCTAATTTTTCGGTTTTTAATTTTAACTGTCAAGTTCTGTAGTTTGTAAGCTTGCTTTCGGATTAGACTAATCGGATTTTTCACTCCAGGAATCTGTGGTAGGTTTTTGTGAACTTCGAAGTTCTAATTTTCAATGCAAATTCGCATTTTACGCTATAAACTAGGCACTTACATTTTGTTTTGAAATGATTAAAGTCCTGCCTTGTGGTAAAATTATTTGAAACTTTGCTGCAAACATTTTTGTGTATTTTATCAATTTACATAGAAAATAATTGGTTGATTGATATTCGTCCGTCTAATGCACGCGTGTGTATGTGTTCATTAATCTTCTACATATTATTTCGTTACCATTTTTCTCACTGGATTGTGTCGTCTCGTAATATAAAGTTGATCGATGTAACTTGCTGGTGCAAAGTCGAAAGAAGTGCCCGGGCTAAAATGCTGAAATTATTTATCGTTGTCAAATTTTTATAGTAAAGATGAGTAATTTTAACTTTACCTTTACTTACTGCATTTGAATTACAAGTTTTGGAAAAAAGGCATCTAATTTGCGACTGTTAGTAGAAAATACTCTGAATTTTATCGAATAATCAGTTATCTAATAAAAAGTAATATATACAAATATTTGGGGCTGCGTACATTATTAACGGCCTAATAAATACATGATGTTAGTGTGGGAAAGTGGATTACAACATTATATGGTGTAATTACAACAGTAGTAATTTTTATAATTAATTAAAGATAAAGGTGAAAAACCTGCTGATGCCAGTCCTGATATGAAACCTTCTACATCCAAAGAAAGTAGTAATTCCGAATGCAGTGAAAGCGCAAAAACTGAAAATACCAAGGATACTCCCAGCTCAACAGGATCAAAAGGTCTCGATTCTGTAGATATCGAGGCAACAAATGAAAAAGACAAAAAACAGAGTAATAACTTATTGGATGATTTAAAAATGCTTGAGGATAGTATTGTGGAATTGATCACAGTCTTAGACACGAAAAATGAATTTAGTGTTAAACGCAGTTAGCGTTTCATATTTAATTACTATATTTAATTACTATGATTAAAAACCAATTACTTTTTGTTCATCTTAAATCTTACTGCAGATAAGAGAAAAATGCATCAGGTTTTTGCCAATTTACTAATTGGTAAAAACTTCTTGTACATTGTTTGTTTGTTTGTTTTACCATTGTGAATTAGTAAAATCGGCAACAAAACACAGTTTACAGGTATGAAGTAAAATGTTTGACAAACAATGTAAGCTTACACAGCTTTCGATTCTAGTTTAGAGACGATAATCTAAAGTAGAATCTAAAGCAAGCCTAAAGTCAAGCCACGACTTAGATATCATAATATCTAAGCTGTTCTTAAGCTGTTGACCTAAAATAGTTACAATAATTTACTAATTGAATCTTCTTGTTGTATATTTCTAAATAATGACTATCGCAAATTTATCTGGTGCACATTTAATTTGCCATTTATTGTGAAAATAACTGAAAGTTATACTTTATTCATTCTCTATAAATGTTGCCTAAAATTGTATGATTTTCTAATTGTGTGCAGTTTTTTTAATGTTTCCTCTTTTGTATGTAAGAGCTTTGGTCACTATGTGTATCACAACTGTGGATAACTATATTTAAATGCAGTTTTAGCTTAAGTCCACAATTCAGCGTTAATGCAGGGTTATTCTGAATTATATTGTTATATACTGATCTTGATTAAGAAATGTGTATATACTCTGATTAGTATTATTTAAATCGATTAATTTGTATTTTTTTGTTTTTCCTTCAAAAGACTGTCTAAGGAAGTAAAATATTTCTTTTTAGAGAATACGTGCTGTAGTTTTTTTCTGAATCGATTTGTATATAAGATATGTGTTATCATTGATAATGATAATAACATGTGGGTTAAATCATTGAAGTTTTTTCTTGAGAAATACAGGGAAATGTAAATGTATTATTTTATGGTATTATTGTTCATATGTAGGAGTACATTAATGAATACGTTTTTAATCCCCAAATTGTGCGTTTTTTCGCCGTACATTTTATCTACAAATAATACTAAAGTTATTCGATTGTTTACCGACAATGTTTACATTTCACTGATTTTTCAATAAATTCCTTCATGATGATTACTTTATCCCTTCCTAAATGCTCAAATGAGTCAAAATTCTGTAAAAAATGAGTTGCAGGGTGGTCTGAAGGCAAAGCGGCAAGTCGCTTGTCGGGAACGGGAATAAAAACTCTTAGAAAACGCGAGAAAAAAATTGCTTTCGGTCGTATGTCGGCGTATTCGGAAAAGAAAAGCTTTTGAGGATGAGTTTATGATAATTTTTAATACCATAGCCGTTTTTTGGTGTGCAAAATTTCATATTTAAATCTGTAGCTTTTGTGACCTTTTGGGAAAATAAAGAGCATACTATTCGACGCATTTAAAGCGACGCACGCATCAAAGAGATTCAGAATAAGTTGACACTTTTTGTGATTTTCGAGCACATTTTAAGTGAAAAAATTGTTTTGGAACATTTCTCATCCAGAATGGACTGATACTGCAGCCAGAATAATTATCATCCAGAAATCCAGAATAATTAGCAGATACGAACCTCGAGATCTTCTATGCCATGGTAAGTCGCACGGTTTCATTGTGGCATTGGTGATTTCAATGAAAATTGAACATTTTCACCTTCTTTAGTTAACAAAATTTCAAATTTAAGAGATTGTTACTTGCAAGTTGTAATTTAAATCGGCGTCCATTCGGACTGTGAGTCAAGGTGCTGATGTACAGGTTGTTTTGAAAGTATATCGCGTACTGTTCAACGAGCAGAGTAAAATCAAAAGTCGATATAAAGATTTGTAAACGCTTTGTTCATGACATATGGAATGGAAAAAGTTTTTTTTGAGGTTTTCTCCATAGTATCTTGCGCTCCTGAGATATGTATGTGTCTCAAATTTCAAATCATTGCCAATTTATAAGGGTCATCAAGCATCCTTACTGTGTCCTTACTTATGGAAAATAGTTGTGACAATCTACAGGTCGTCGTTTTTTCTAGGCTTTTGCTTTGTTTTCGGATTTACCATAGTTTGTGAGTTACTTGCAAAATGTATCTGAAACATAGCGTGACTTAAATTTTTAATAAATTTCCACGGATTGCGAGACAATTACGGCCTTGTCTGTACACATTGGACATGACAATTTACACTCCACAAACTACAATTAAATCTTGCAAAAATTATCCCAATTTGGATTTTTTTGGACGAAACTTTCGGGTTTGAATATAATCCCAAGCATTATTTAGCGATTGTCAATCGTTCGATTCAAATCGAACTTAAATTACACGAACAAATTTAAATAAAATTGAATTAAATAATCAATTAAATTAAATTAAATTAAACGATAAAAAAAATAATTAATCTGATTTTTTTCTGCAGATTTTGTTGTTGCATATTTCAATTTTATATCCAAATTGTGGCAAATAGTCCGCGGAATGTTCTGTTTCCAATTCATTTCATTCAATAAAATTTTTCAAGTTGCAAAAAACCCAAATCGGATATTTTATAGTCATGTATAATTTCATACGTGTCGACCTCTCCTACCGTTGCAGATCCGCATTGTATTGGAAGAATTCTAAACAATTTAATTACTGCGTGCGTCACATCAGCAAATATAGTGAGAAAGAAAACGCGTGTTACTCGTATTGATTGATATATTCTTAGGCGAGTTTTGCAACCTCAAACTGACTTGCGCATGTCATTTAAGCAAGGAGTCAGTGAGGATATATGCGCTAGTTGTGTTTAGCGCAGCTGCATGGCAGAGTTTAGTGTTTCGTAACCTCAAATTCTAGATGCACGTTTCTGTTTATTTACTATAGCAGTCGTCTTCATCTATGATAGTAGTTTCCCAGTGCCAAAAGAAATTAAGGGAGAAAACCACATTTTTTGTGAAGTTGAAGTAAACGAATATATAATTTCAACATGAACTATCTCACGTACGTATTAGATGCTTTTACATAAAGTTGTGTAAATCAATTGAACGCATTTTTAGTAATATGAAAAACATTACCAAATTGAGCCAGCAAGATCTCCACAATCCCAGCAAATCTTCATGGCATGATCAATACAAAGATAGTGCTTGGGTCTATATTGGTGGCTTACCTTTCGACTTAACTGAAGGCGATATAATATGCATATTTTCACAGTAAGTTTTTATATCTACTTATATACATTTATTTAATAATAACTAAATTAATTTTCTTCTTTTAAAGGTACGGCGAAGTTGTGAATATCAATCTAATTAGAGCTAAAGATACCGGCAAATCCAAAGGGTTTTGTTTTTTATGTTATGAAGATCAACGATCTACTATACTGGCAGTAGACAACCTTAACGGGGTTAAAGTGATGAATAGAAGCATTCGAGTCGATCATGTGCAAAATTATAAGGTAAATGTGCAAAATGGAGTGGAAATTGTATACACAATCGACCCAATCGAAGTACAGTACTTACCTATATGTTACACGTGATTCGATAAAAGGAATAGGTTTTTTCATTTTTATTTATTAGCGCATTTATTACAGAGCAATAAGTCAACAAACCATTTTCAATGATGTTACATGATTCACAATCTCACACACACAACTCGCGTTCAAAAGTGGTAAACTCTTGGACACGTGAATTAAAATGTCTTTCATAATCTTTAAAAAATCTTTCAAAACATAGTTTTTCGGAAACTGCTTCCTTTACAAACTCTTTCAATTTTTGAAAACTTGGTAGTGTTTTAGTTTGTTAAAAACCCCAGCTTGAAAAATTTATTAGAATGTTCATACAAGATTGAATTAATTGGAAAACAGGGTAATTCAATAGTAGTGTGTAGACAAAAACGGCAAATAAAAAAACTGATATAATGCTTGGAAACAAATCATACATTACGAAAAAAAATTCGCATTCAAAATTCCCAATCAAATGTTTTTCTATCAAGTTACTAGCTAAATACTAAACGACTATGCTGCTTTCGTCATGTATGCCCTCTGTATATTGCTCCATTTAAAAACCATAAATGGATGAAGTACAATTTTTTGAGTCAATTAATACGTTTTGCCACAACCGTAATCAAAACCAAAATTCCCATATAACAAAACATACCCATTGTTACGTACTGTTTAATTGACTTTTGCATGAATCATTTAACGACGTTGTTAGTTGCGCTGCTCCTACACTCATAGTTTTTATGTAAATGAACAAATAGTCGAAAACAAATTTTAAATTCAAGATCTACACAGGTGCCAAAAGATGACAAAAAAGCAAACGAGGAAACGAAAAGGTTATACGCTGAAGGATGTGCACCTAAAGTATTACCTCCACCTCCCGTTGCCGCTGCAGCTGTTAAGACTGAACCTTCAGGACTGCAGGGCCTGGTGAGAGAAACGTTAGCTGATCAGATAGAGGGAGAAATAAAGTTGCCTGCTAGATTACCAATTTACTCACACTTAAAAGCGGAAAAGATGTCGGATACGGAAAGTGAGAAGACAGCGAGAAAAGATAAGAAAAAGGAGAAGAGTAAAAAGAAAAAGCGTGCAAAGAAGAGTAGAAATGAATCAGATGACAGTGAGTCGGAAGATGAACGGAAAGTAAAAAAAGCGCGATCTCATGAGGATCGGAGCAACGATGGCCATGCGGACAAAAATAGCGCGAAATATTCAACAAAATCGTTCTATTCGGACAAAATCCAAAAACAATCGAGTACCAGTTCTCATACGCATCGAGATAAAAATTCATCAAAACGAAAGGAACGTTCGAAAAGTCCCGATAAAGATGATAAACCTAAAGGTTACAAAAGAGGTTTCAGTCCGAGTATTCCAAAAAGGTGGAGATGAGTACAGCTACTAATTATAATTTAGGATAAATGTCAAAATAACATTAAAAAAATGTACACAGTAAGCAATATTTTTTGGCTGCAATAACATTCTTATATTGGGCGAATGAAGAGTCGCTTCGAGTCCACTATAAGTTTAATTAACATACACGACGCGTTTCGGTTATTTATAATATATTCACCCAATATATTATCAAGCCACTACCTCGGATTCAAACAATAATATGTTTTAATTTAATATTTTTAATAATTTTTAAAATTCATATCATCATATTTGAGGTAATAATAGAACAGCATGTAGATTCTGGAAACCATTAGAGATGCGAAGTTAGTGAAAGATGCATATTTCGATATTCGATGACCTGGTTTTTGTATAAGCGGTTTATAATGATGTAACTGAAACATAAAATAAAACAAGATTTTGTTCCGTTTTAATGGGACATCATAACAAGCTTCGCAACTGCAATGGTTTTAGAATCGCTTTGCAGTTCATTTTTATATTTACATTTCTCAACATCAACAATTAGACTAGCCACTGTGTAAGGCGAATTCTATTTAGTTCCACATATATTATATTTATATATAATAACATACTACCTACACTCAAAGAAGGATAAAGGATTAACAAAATATTTGCCTATTTATTTGCTTTAAATGGAAACATTTTAAATTAATTGGTAAAACATGGCAACAATTGTTGGTTGTAGCAGTAGTAACATTACAACTTAAATTACACCGAATCGAATTGTAATTGTACTAATTCACGCGTTCCATTATATGCCAGTCATAGTTATTAAGATAAGAAGATAATAGGTCTAAGTTATTTAATTTGTACGATAGCCATACATATAAAAAATTGAAAATTATTTAGTTATTGCAATTATTTGCGGACATGAATTCCATATATGTTCCTAATAAGTTTAATTATTTATTTAGGTATGGAATACCATACTACTGCACAATTTTGATGGAACATTCACAGTTGTTTAATTAATCAGAGTGCATGGACCGCGTTATAGGTTTTAAATCAACGAATACCAATCAAAATCAATCAAAAAACATCCCAAGCCTATCTCACCCGTAGAGTTTCTCTAAAATGGCAGTAGGGGCGTCGGCACTATATTTTGATATTTGCCTTAATAAGGCAAATTTCTTTGTGATGCCCTTCGATGACTCCATATCGTAAAGCGTACATAAATTGAGGATTAACGACTCGTGAAGGGCATGCATTGGATTATTGGCTATCGCTGATTCTAGCACTGAAATTGCTTCCTTCAAGTGGCCGCCATAGAGTAGACATACTCCCATGTTGTTGAGAATCTAGCGTCAGAAATATTATTTTACCAATTATTACTTCATCGTTATGTATTTGAATAACTCACCATTATATTGGACGGTTCTAAATTACTGGCTTGTTGAAAGGCTACATACGCATTATCGAAATTATTTTGAGCAATTGCTAGTAATCCTTTATCGACTATATCACGCACCCCCGAAGGGCCAAGTTGAGCTGCTTCATTGAAACATGTTTCCGCTCCTAAAATATTCAATCGATATAGTTTTATTAGCGAAGCATTATTGCACAAAGCAATGATGTTAATTTACCCGAGATATTTCCCAGTTGCAAATGCAGTCGACCTAAAGCTGATAACAATGCCTGTTTCGGAGCTCCGTCTCTGAAAATAAACCAGATTTGATAGTGTTGTTTTAGGGCAAGTCGGAAAATAGCTATGCATACCTTTCAGATAATTGCCCTAATAATTCCAAAGCCAATTCGTAATCTTTCACCGATATCGCGCAATTAATAACAGAGTGCATAACTCTGGCTTCTCTACCACTCCATAGTTTCAGTGAATCGGCTCTATCAGATTCTCCTATCTCCATTGGATTTCCATCTTCACATAGTCCTGTGTTGATAAAAATAAACTAAATGTTAACTGAATCAAAAATAAGTAACAGTGCCCACCTTGTTTTAAATTGTGGATCATTTTTTTGATAACTCCTAGAATACTGAAAAGTTTAGTCAACGATTCTTTCGGTTTCCCACAGTGCATTGGTAATTCGGCCAGTAGTAGGCGAAAACTGAAAGATGCCATTGATCCGGGCCGTCCGCCATACATATCAGGGTAGAATTGGTAAAACACATCAGGCTTCTCCAGCTGGCCGAAGGCTTCTGCTTCCTTTTGAGCATAATCAAACGCTTTGGTTTTGATCAATAGAGCAATTCGAGTAAACCAAAGCTGAAGTGAGTGGGGTGAATGTTTTGTCGAATGTCCTAAACAAATTGTTTTATTAGCAAAAGTTGGCTGAAAGTATAGCTTTTAGTCGTAGCTGCATTAGAAAATTGGCAGATTTTGCGAAATAACGTCCTGAAAATGTATTACTTTCATGCGTGAATCAATGGTTCCACTTTCATTCGCAACTAAAGGAATCAAGCAATATACAGCTGCGCCTTTTTTAATCAACAAAAAAAATACTTCTTACCCTTCCTTCCTCTTCCTTGTCCATAAACTGATAAGAGCCTGCCAGTAAGATTAATTGCAGCTCTAAAAAGATAAAACGTTGTACATATTGTTTAAAGCAAGCTAAGCATTCAACCTGAAGGAACCAGCTTGAACTAACTCCCTAAGGCCGCGCTCATCCTGGGTAACATCGCTAGCAGTTAAACTTCTTCTTTGAGCAGCTTCTGCCTCTCCTAAACAGGCTCCCACTGCTTCTCCTATGACATCTCCTAATTCTTCTTCAATCAAAATCTGACCAACAGGTAGTTAAGTTACAAACGTTCCAATAAATTATTTTGCAATTTGTATTTGAAGACAGTGAAAACTTACCCCTGGCGTGGTTAACAGGTCCGAATCAGGCACATACGTGCCTGGTTGAGCGGTTGCATTGGCAATCAGAGCCTGTCTAGTTCTTTCAATAGGAATCCAGGCATCTCTTCTTCTATCTGCTTCAGCACTGGTTGAAACTCTTGGAATGTATGTGTCCTAAATTAAAGCCATAAAACCTTCAGGTTTACACATTTTCGATTCGTTATTTTTACCTCGTTGTTAGTAGGTAAATCTAGAGCAGATATAATGCCAGCACTGTTCACTTTGCCTTTATCGTTTCCAATCAAATCAAAAAAGTTTGCTGTTGGATCTTTGGGTTCAGCTGGTATTTCCGCAAAAATTCTGCACACTTCCGGCTCGTTTGTTGGCCTTTCCTCCTGTCCCAATCGGACGCTGTTTATTTTATCTGTAGTATCAGTTAATACCTTTGAAAAGTCCATTTGTTCCTTCTCATGATCAGTTGCTCCAAAATACTGTGTGAGTGATGGTGTTTTCTGGTCCGTCATGGTTATAGTTTTATATATAAGTTGGCATTTTTTCTTAGAAAATATATTTATCAGCTTATATTTGCTACAATCTCGAATATAACAACGTTCGTTTACTTATTAAAGGGAATTTAATAATTTCTGAGACTGTTTTTCGTTTGATTTGAGTGTTTTGACATGACTGTCATAACATACTCATAACCTATGAAAKATCTCAATAGGTTTGCAATAAATATTCGTCATATTTAAATAATTTGGTTTTTCTAATCAAGCGGATAACATTTACTGCAGATCTGGATGATCCGGRGATGCTGGATGGGTATGATTGTAAATGTGAGRTWATGTCAACATGTTCTCGTAGTTAAAATTTTCTTTTCGAGTTYGTTTACACCATGGTCAGTCGCACCGGCTGGGAAGTACGAGGATAAAKCATTTATTTTTATATTTGAATAAATTAGATAAAAATATCGTTGATCGGTTTAATTTAGCAATAATTTTTTTTTGTTTGACACATTTGTTGATATATTAAAAAAAATTTACAACAATTAAAATACATCAAAACTTAATTAAATTGAGTTCCTTAATCTTTATATTGTATATATAGGGTGTCCTGTAAGCTCATGATCAAAAGAGTACAGCGATATTCTTTGGACCACAAGAAGACGATCTGACCTAACTTTGATTAACAAAAAATGTCTGACTCCTCTGCTATTGATGGTCAAAGTTCAAAAAATTTATCTTTTTTGAAATATCGGGAGAATGGTACGATGTATTTTAGTGAAACTCGCTGTGAATTTGTTCTTATGTAATACTCATTTTTTGATAAAGCAATCGAGTTCAGCCGTTTTGGACAAGTGGTGAATTATTGAGTGTCTTGGTACAAAAACTTCCAGAACTTTTTAGTTAGAGGATCAAATCAACTCATTTTTTCTAGGTTGATGCTCTAGTCATTTATTCACATTTTGGTGCTCTCTACAAATCTTGTAGCATTCATAGTTTTTGCGAAAAAAAAATGTCTGTTTTCTTGCCGCTTAACAATGTTAGACCTTCAGTTAGACCAACATAAAAAAAAATGAGTTGATTTCATCCTCCAACTAAAAAGTTCTGGTAGTTTTTGTACCACGACACTCAAGCATTCACCACTTATCCAAACCGGCTGAACTCGATTCTTTCATCAAAATTTGAATCTTACATAAGAACAAATTGACAGCGAGTTTCACTAAAATACAGTTCATTTCTTAATTAACAAAATATTTACTGACCCAGATAATATAATAGATGAGTATATGTATAGCTGGAATTTAACACGCTAAGAGTAAGAAACCATAAATTACATAATTAAATATGCCTATAAGCAAAACATAGCAATACATCACTGTACATATTCAAACATCTTAGGTGGGAACAATAAGTACAATAAAAAATTATAAAGCTTACTGATAAAATTGGATAAAATTTAAATATAAATCTCCTTCACGAATCGTAAAATATTTAACAAATATATAGGTAAATTACAATTTTATACATTTACTTTTTAAAATAATCATTGAATGAAATCCGGAGTTATTTTACTTTTAGTATTGATGGCCTTTTTTAAATATAAGCGGCTTATGAAACAATGTTGATACTTTGAACTGCAGCGATATCTTATCTTCTATTAACCTTTGTTTTTGTTTTGAACAACATCTTACAAAATATGCTTCAGTTCTTAATATTTTCCAAAAAGAAAATTTTCTATTGGTTACAATTGTTGGGTACAATTAAGGCTTGACGTTGTTTTAATAGCGTTGCCAATTTGAGCTATCACTATGAACACTATAAAAACCAGTATCACTGTCTGTACTTTGGACACTGTAAAAGCTTTGAGAACTTTTGATGCTGCTGAAAGAGGAAGTGGATATTGTGCGCATTCGATGCATTTCCACAGGTTTTTCCGTTTCACTATACTGAGTTTTCGCCAATTCATTGTCATTTAATTGGTTACTTTGAAAACTTAGCCCTGTTGGTTCTGAAAAAAGGCAATTTTTAATATTAGAATAAGTAAAAGTACATATTTCATTGCTCCTTTAAGATTAGCATGGAAAGGGTATTTACAAATTAGGTGAGATTATGCGAGGTGATAATTTGTCTCAGGCTGTGTGATTTTGCGAATAATATTCACATTGATTAGTTTCTCTCTTTATAACATTAAATTGGGAACTTTTGACTTATTTGCTCCATTTCCGCGCAATAATATTTCATCCGCCCTTTCTCATTAATTCGACTAGCTAACTTTTCCTTTCTTCACACCGGTTCCATGCTGTTTTTCCAAAATTACAAAAAATTACCCAGTGTAATTTTAGAATTTCAATCAAAATCAAATGAAGTGCCTACATGGTTAAATATAAATATTTTTTTCCAGATTCCAACAGTATCTATACCTCAAAATCGCTTAATTTTCGGGCATATGTTAATAGAGTAAAAATACATGTCTTGATTTACCATCATTAAAACAGTTTTTTTGGTATATTTATCGAACACTCTTAATAAATATATCCATATACAGCGCTAGTAGATGTATGATGGGACGTAAAAATGTCATTAATCAATTAAACTTAATTTTCTTTATTCCCTGTTGTACGAATTAAAGGTTTTATATACAAATTCATAAAGATAATAATCAATGTGTTGTGGTTGATTAGTGACCGTGATGATAATCAGTAATTAATTCTTCAATAATGGGATTTTCGGTCAACGGATGGTGGCAAAATAAAACACTACTTTTTCATGGGCCAACGTTTCGACTTTCTTCAAGTCATCCTCAGGACTCTAAAATGGAAAACAGAGGGTTTTTTTTGCCTAGAGCCTGGTGGAGTTTCAACACTTAGTGTGTGACATTGTTATAAAATACAACTTTAAAAATAAAAATAAAAATACTCAAAGCTCAAATTCACAACAGATTAAAAATTAAATCACGACCATCAGACTACCCAGTTAAAATACCGTAGTTAAAATAATATTGACCATGATTGACTTATTTAAACCAATGTTAATTTTAATGTAATTTTTTAGTATTTTAACTGGGTAGTCTGATGGTGGTGATTTAATTTTTAATCTGTTGTGAATTTGAGCTTTGAGTTTTTTTATTTTTATTTTTAAAGTTGTATTTTATAACAATGTCACACACTAAGTGTTGAAACTCCACCAGGCTCTAGGCTAAAACAACCCTCTGTTTTCCATTTTAGAGCCCTGAGAATGCCTTGAATAAAGTCGAAACGTTGGCCCATCAAAAAGTAGTGTTTTATTTTGCCACCATCCGTTGACCGAAAATCCCACTATTGAAGAATTAATTACTGATATTAATCAATAATATCTTCATTTTTTCTTATACAAAGCGTACTCCAGGCAGATATCTCAAGCTTCAAACAATATGCATGTGAAAATTTTTAATTACTATTGAAAGGTAGCCTAAAGACTATTTTAAAGTATGTACCTGTACAACTTTCCGATGTGTTTTCCTTTTGTCGTCCACAGCACACAAAAAACATTTTAACCATCAACTTATACTCTATACAGATCGCAAGTAATTTTATCTGGATTAAAATCCTTTCTTAATTTGGATGCTGATTTAAAACCAATTACAAGACTACTTAAGAGGAATGATTCTTAGCTCTTAAACTCAAGGAATTATTTACTCTGATTTAGGCTATAGCCGTCGACCAATTGATAAATATTTAATATCTGGTATGCACGTTAAGGTGTTTTTATCCAATATGATAAAAATATCACTATCGCTTTACTGATATCAGCACCATTTAACAAGAATCTCGAGAATATGGCTGGTTGCTGCCATAAAATGCAACAGTTGAATAAAACCAATAAAATCGAGAGTTTTATTAGAAAAGGAAATTTAACAATTATAAAAAATGATAAATTAATACAGCACAGATAATTAATTTAAACATATCCGCTAAACAACAGTGGAACTCTGGTGTAAACGCACACTGTAAGTTCTAAATTAGTTCAAACGGCTTTTATTTAGTAGTTAATTTGAATAACTTCCATAACTGAATGGGGATTGGTCCAAAGGTACACATCTTCTGTGTCAAAAGCACAGGTCAAAAGTGACGTTTATACTTTATGATTAGCGATTGTGAATAGTGTTTTTCTGGATTTAAAGTTTAAAAATATAATAAAATTGTTAAGTTTTGCATGATAATAAGCAGAAATAGTTGATGCTTATATAATCAACCTATTAGTAATCTAGATTTTGTTTTCGCGAAGATAATCAAATAACTACTCTATATAGGTTAAAAAAGGTAAGTAAAATATTCCCAAAGTCCTAATTTTCAAAGTATTTCAAATTTCCGTTTTTTAGCAAGAAAATGTCCGACCTAGGTGACTGGTATCGAGGTGTTCCTCGTTTTACCAGATTATGGTTTACGGGCACAGTAGCTTTAACCCTTTTTGGTCGTTTTGGCCTGTTAAATCCGATTAATCTGATATTACTGTATTCTGAAGCAGTTAAACGTCTTCAGGTATGGAGGTTTATTACCTCTGTGCTATATTACCCATTAACACCGCAGACGGGTTTCCATTATTTGATAAATTTGTACTTTTTGTATAACTATTCAAGACGATTGGAAGAAGGTAAGTACACCATAAAATCCCACATTAAAATACATTATATACTTTCAAATTACTCAATCTGCGTCTTGTTCGCAATTTCAAGTGTAACTTAACAGTTCGAAAATGTCTATAATGTAGAACTTTGCCAGTTTCATCTGACACACTAATTTTTTATGATATTTTTGAACGAGCGGAAAATCATACATTTTCACAAACAATTTAAACTAAAACCATTCAATTCTGCCGTTGAAAGAAGATGTTGGCTCGTTAAAAAAGCATTTTATTGCCATTTCAAAAAACGCAGAAACGAATTATATATTTTTAGGGACATATCAAAGAAAACCTGCAGATTTTGCGTTTTTATTGATCTTTAATTGGATATGCTGCATCATTATGGGGCTGGTTGCTGATATGCCAGTAAGTATTCGTTTGATTTAACATTCCAATATTCATTTGCTGGTTTCAAATAATGAATGCTTGTATAACGTGTTTAAAGAATTATATTATTTTGGGTGAGCTCTTTGTAAAAAATCTTGGTGTTCTGAGTTCCAGCTTTCCATCCATTGACAGAGTTTTTGAATTAAAAGTTACCACCGCCTAATATAGTAATGACAAATCTTTCAGATGATCGGGTCATTTAACCCCGATCAGTCTTTCTGATTTCAGGAGTTTCTAACTGATTGTTTTGATAACACAAGTTTATTGTGAAAAAAATCGTTCTTGCGTAATGTTTTATTACTATCAGCACGCTTGTAATTCATGAGCCTTGAGAATGGCTAAAATTGTATAGCCGAAAGGTTGGGCCAAGAAACACAGTGTTTTCCATAAAATTCCAATTTTACTTAATTAAACTTACAAAATCCAAATTTTACAGGGTGGCCCATCATTGAGACTTTATCTCGCTAGAAAACGAATAGGTTATTTTTGTGACGGTGCCTTTTTCGTATTAGTAAACATATCTCAAATTAGTTGTATAAAATTATTCATTCGTCCTGAAGCATTATTTGTATCTTTAAAATTTTTATATTTTGCTTAGAAGAAACAGTGAAAAGAAACATGTATTATTAAAATTCATTCTAAAGCTGCTGGTGTCTCTTACATTATATATTTTCAATTCGGTAACTAATTGATCACTTTTATTTTTTTTAGCTTCTGATGGACCCAATGGTACTCTCTGTTCTATATGTTTGGTGTCAGCTTAACAGCGACGTTATAGTAACATTTTGGTTTGGTACTCGATTCAAAGCCATATTTTTGCCTTGGGTACTGCTTGGTTTCAACTTAGTTATATCTGGAGGAGGACTAATGGAGCTTATTGGCATTCTTATCGGGCACCTTTACTTCTTTTTAGCATTTAAGTACCCACAGGAGTTGGGGGGTCCAAGCTTATTGTCAACACCAGGATTTCTTAAAAACTGGTTTCCCGAAGAAGGTGGTGGAACTTTTGGACCGGCTCCCGACAGGGGTCCCGCAATTCCGAGAGGTCGTATGTGGGGCCAGGGCCACGTTTTGGGTGGCAACTGAAAGACTATTTTGTATTTGGGTTATAATAAATTTCGTTTGTAAACATATGTTTTTAGATTATAATTTAAAAAAATATACATGTTTTAAATAAAATGTTTGTTTTTAAAAACTAAGCCTTTCGCAACTTGTCAGAAGCCAAATAAACTATATTCTTCGGAACGCTTTTCGGTATTTATCCGGTTGATTTTTTTGAGAAATCCGGCAAATTGAAACATTTTGAGAAGTTTTCATACATTTTGGTCCTGGTAAAAATTCCATATAATGGCAACGCTGCATATCAGCTGTTTTCGGATGTGACATTTATAATTTCACTGTTTTCCTATCAAAAATAAAAAAATCGAGGCACATTAATTGCTAAAACAATGAGTTCTGGGTTTATTAGTGAGGCTGATGCGGCCGAAATTCGCAAGAAAAGGCAGGAAGAATGGGAAAAAGTGCGGAAGCCTTCGGATCCGCTAGGTAAGTGTTACTTATGTTTTCGTTTATAATCAGCACTTCATAGTTTTGTTTAATTTTGAAATTGAATCAATTTCTTTTCACCTTGGTTCTGCTCAACTTTTTCATAAGTTTGGATTAAGAGGCAGTAAATTGGTTGATTTTCAGTAAGACCCGAGGATCCTTATGATAACAGAAGCTTGTTCGAACGATTACAAGAACAAAAACAAAAAAAGGACTTGGAATATGAGGAGGCTCACAAACTAAGTAAGGGTTGAATTAGGAAATGAAGCGAATTTTATGATATCTGAACTGCATCCGAGGTGGCTCTGCCTTAACTTTACCAGATCATAAACACTTATTTAAATTCCTGTGTATGTTGGGGTGAACTTTTGTAAGATGTGTAACAAACACACTGTATGCGAAAGTATTTGCCGGTTATTTTGTCGGTGATTAGGCCCCCTTTCGTTCTCAGCTAACAATATGTTCACTTTATAGAAAACCGTGGTAATTTTTAATTTTCTTTAACAGGCCCAGGCGTTCTACGTTAACAATATGCTCACCTTGTAGATACCTGTGTTTACTTGAGTCAGAGAGTCTATATAAAACATGGAGCGAGAAATTTGGAAAATTGTTCAACAATTCAAACGCCCACTGATTTTTTCGAAGCTTGCAAACTTGGGCCTAAAAATAAAAAAAATATACTTACGCGCACCTTAACAAAAAATCCTAACTCTGAAACCAGAGCAAGTTGGGACTTGAAATTTTCACAGAATCTGTATAAAACATGGAACAAGAAATTTGGAAAATTGCTCAAAAATTCAATTCTGTGTTTACCTACTAACAAATTTTCTTAGTGGTGTTTCTTGTAGAAATGCGGTTTTCGACCACTCTTTACTAATTGAAATTCTATTATTTTCTATAAGATAATAAAGGACGCAAGAATCACAAAATCAAAAGATAATGAAAAATGCAAACAAAATAACGAAAGAGGCAAATGCTGAAATAAATCACTCGTTTTAGATACTATAATGCATCAGCATAGTATTATTGAACGACTATTTACAGTGCTTAGGAAGAAAATGCGATAGTGTTTAAAAATAATCTTAAATGTGAAAAAATCAGTCATAGCACGGACGCATGCTTTATTATAACGAGGCAAGCTATCTTTGTGCGCAAAAATGTCATTAACTGTATCTACATGCGAGGTATCACTAAAACATCTCGGGCTGATTCGAGTTTCTTTATTTTTTTTCAACCAACTCAATTTTTCGTAAAGAAACATTTTTGAACCATTTAATACGGCAAACTGCCATTAATTTATCATTTAAAATTCTACTCTTGAATAGTCTCATATCTTTGAAGAACATCCGGTATAAAAACCAAACCATATTTTGTTGTAGAGAATATGATTAAGGGTCTAGATGATGATGAAGTCGAATTTCTCGATTTGGTCGACCGCACAAAATTAGCTGCCGATAGAAAGAAGGAAATTGAAGAGGAACAAGAACTTAGAGACTATCGGAATAGAGTTTCTATTCTACAGGAAAAAAGTATCGATGAACGTTTGCAAGCGGATATAGTTGTTAGTAAACCGAAAGTTTCAATAGCCAGCAATTTAAATCAACAAAAGCTTTTAAAAGGTTATTTGCCAACTTTTCGTTATTTAATAGCTTAATAACAAAAACCCGTTCCAGGTGTGGTAGTGAAAAGAGCACAAGGTGTGAAGCGAAAAGCATCTGCAACCGATGTGGACGAAAGTAAAACCGATAGTAATGGAAGTAAATCCTCCAAACCGGAAAATTTAAGTCCCAAAGAAACAGGTACTGATGCTAAAGCGGAAGACACTGCTGAGGTTGCAGATGCAGTCAAAGTTGATGAAATTGACCGACAGCCAACATTAAAATGTGTCGCTATATTACCTGGTAAGAGAAATGGTTTCATGGATACTTTAGTCGTAAATGCTCTTTAATTATTTATTCTCAGGTTTGGGTCATTACGATGATTCATCGTCGGATGAAAAAAGTTCAGATTTAGAAGAGGATCTTGACATATTGGGAAAAATCCTAAGCAGAAATTGCTATTAAAGGCAATTGGCGGAAATTGCTTAGTTCTTTATGTTATTATATATTAAATAGTCGTTATCTAAGGCAAAAATAAAAAATGCTTCAAACTATAATGTGTTCTGACTTGTGAATAACTTAAGGGTTTTTTTACGTGATGTTCAGCGGAAGTTGCCTGAACTCTTTGTAATTGTCTCATATATCTGCAAAATTTAATTTCCCTTCAAAAAAAGTCCTTTCGTTTATTAACACGGCTGTAATGACATATTGCAGAAATTGAAGCGTTTTCGGTTAATTATCGAGGAACACAGATTCCTGGTAACATTTCACGCAGTTTATTTCCAAACTCACCAGCTATTACATAACATTATACGGATGAAAATATTATATATAAAAGAAAACCAGTCTTTCTCGCCTATTTTATTACGACATCGACTAAAACTGCATAATAGTGTTTATATTTCATGAGAGTTTAGTTTTGTTTTTCGAACTTCTGTCGTTGTTTGAGGTAATTAATTCTGTTACATTTGAGATATAAGTTTTGGTTTTGGTGGTATATCATTTAGTATGCACATTTCGTCTTATCTTCTGCCTCGAGTTTTCGGTGTGGCGCTAGTAGATTCTGAAATTCAAATTGAATGTTCCGAATTGCTTAGAAAGTGTTTGCTTTCGCGTATTTTCTTCGAATTTGCTCCCCATAATAATTATCAAAAATTATTTTAAAAAAATTCCTATTGTAAATGAAGTGTTTGCGGACTGATTTTTATGTGAATGTTTGGTCACAAAATCAGTTATAGAATTAATAATAATTAATTAATATGTAATCTCTTTTTCTGGATATATGTATTGATAGCTAGTGACATTGTACCTATATGTATATGTATTTATGTAGGTATGGTTGCTTGTAAAATTTAATGCGAAATTGAAACCTTAGTTTCCTCGTTTTCTAAAATGATGGTGCTTTTATTATAAAAATTATCACATTTTTAATCATATCGAAATTGTTAAAAATACGTTCCGCTAATTTTTAAATAATCGGGAAATGCCAATTAATAAAGAAGTGCCTCTGGATGAACGTTCAAATGCTGGTACTAAATTGCATTAAAACTATTTTTTGCTTATAAAAACTCTGCCTACAAATGCACTAGGAGAGATATAGAGAGCTTCATGGACAACTGCTAATTATATAAATCGTATTTATCAACCGATAAGCAAAATATGTGAATAAAAAAAAAACTGCTTAATTAAATTCTTTCTTTGTAACTGGAAAAAGTAATTTTTAGCTCAGTTATATCAGTATAGTGAGTTGATGTTTTTAAATGTATCTATAAAATTTTTAAAAATTTTTATTGAACACATAATTTCTGTATCGGTTTTTCTCCTATAATGGACGTGGAAACAAATTGAGATATAAACAAAATATGCCTCAACTTTGCTCAACTCACAGCAGAAATATAGTAATAAAGTAGGTAATGGGTTTATCAAAAAAGCCGCCGATTAAAAATTTAAGAAGGATTTGTTAAAAATTCCATTAATTTCGTTTAGAAATGAGAACCTGGGGCATTCGCCTTAACCATGAATTCTACACAAAATTTTAGGAGTCGAAGGTTGCATAAAAATAACATTTTTTCGATTTATTAATATTCGCAAAAATAAAATAAAAAAAGTTTGTTTACAGTTTATTGCTTGTTAAATATTCCCATTATTTCAATTTGATTGTTTTTATTCATAGCACGGGTTAACTTATATACAAAACAGCAAAATTTTAAATATTTATTTGGCATTTACTCACATAGGATCATTTTCTTTCCGCTATAATTAATTATAATTACTTTATTATTGCATTGCATATTTCAATAAATAGCTAAATTCAAAAGAAACAAAAAATAACAATATTGCAGATAAACATTGCAATAGGTATATGGATGATTCGAAAATAGTAACTAGTTTTGTAGTAAAGAGTAACTAACTAGTTACTAGATGATTATTTTATACATCACCAGTTTTTCTTCTCAATAAACGCTTAATTTCAAATTACGCATTTAAATAAATATCGTTTTTATCTTGTACCACTGCCATTTTCAGATTTGCTGCAGTGCATAATACATAATCGTATAAATTCTTTGCATACAGAGTGTTTCAAACAACATACACTTACTCCCGATTTTAATCACTCCACTTAAAATAACGTGAACAGTCTTCATAAATATATCGGTTTAAAGGACATTTTTTGGGAGTAAAGTTTTGCAATTCCTGAAGCACCTTTAAAATCAATTAAATGTGTGTTCATTTTAGAAACTTCTTTGTTTTTCTCATTTTTTAAGATCGAGAAACATTTCCGATAATTCCGCGTGTCAATAGGGAAACTAACAGTTCAGGTGCAAATCTTAATTTTCAGTAGTCTTAATTTGTTTGTTTCATTATTGCTAGTTTTTCATACTTACTTATATTTATATATATTTGGAAAAGCTCTTTATTAATGACTCGGTTATTTCATGAACTAATTTGATGTTTATTACCAGTCGCATAACGATTCGACAAAAGTGGTTCTAGTAAATTAAAAATTTCAGATTTTCCGATGTTGATGAGAAATTACCGCTCTAAACCTACGTAAAATAAATTGCGGTAGCTCAAAAGATCAAGGTGTAAGCTTGGAAATGTTTTAAACTTCAGCCTTCTATATGTATCGGGTAGACTTACATTTACAGCAGATCTTCATATGTTAAATCAATCGATTCTACTCTAATAATTCGCATATGTTGCTTTAAACACCCCTTGTATATTTATTCAAATTGATGAGCAGCTTTAAGTAGAAGCAGCAGATATGCTTATTTCGAATTGTTTTTGCAAACTTTAACAAACTTTGCTTCTGGATAGGTGTTTGATGTAACATGTAAATACTCCAAATTTTTGTATAGAAAATAGTGCTAAAAAAATTGAAAATAAATCAGTGATCACATTAACCATTTCTTTTTCTGTTCCTCTTATATTATTGTCGTTATTACGGTTACTAGCGTTATTATTGTCTATAATTTTTACACTCAATATAACAACTTTTAACAGCTTTTAAAACTAGTTTCTAACATTTTTTACGATACGTTTTGATACATGTAGGTAGGTTGTTATTAAATATTTTTTTTACACATTTAGAACATTTTTTAAATACAGTTATTACAGATACACACAGCATGTTATATGAAATTGTTAGAGGGCAATTGATATTGACTACATCGTTTGCTCCATACACCCTTTAACGATTTCTTCTTTAACTTATTATTAATAAATTATTTATTGGAAGACAATGTTACAATCTTTGGAAGACTTTAGTTTCTTGGAATCACCATAATTTTAGAGTCTATGATATTCTACAATATACGCGATAAATACACTTATTATCTTACAGTATCGAATCAAAAAGTTGCCTTACTAATAAGAAATTGACTATTCCTAAATGACTGCGTTATCTATTAATGCGACAAAATAATTAATTTAGAGGTATTAATGTTTCTGTATGAAAACGAACGAAAAAAAGATAACATGAKATTTAATAAACTATTTGAAATGAAACATTGACTTGCTGGAAATTTGCTAGCCGTAAGTAGTAAAATTGTAAACGAAGACTTACTTGAAATTTAATTTGTATAACGCATTATAAACTTTGCGCAAAAACGTCTCATAATTGGTTGACTTAATACTAGGCTTTTATATAATTTACATTATAAAAAAATGTATACTTTTGTCAGTGTACTTAAAATGGAAGACTTCGTTGGCATATTTTAAGTATGGTTGCTTTCACTTCAACTGATTTGACCGTAATTATTGTCCACGTTTAAATGTATCTTGTTCAGATATGGTATTGCTACTGTTTCAGGAAGACCGATTATTTACAACCCCTGTATTTTTTGGAGGCTATGAATTTTGGTAATTATTTTGGTTTTTTTTATAATAACAAGTACTTAAACCTTTGGAAAATCGCAAATATTGCAAATTTTCCGTTAACACATGTTTGAATGGTGGAAAATTATTTTCTCAGTGGATTTTATAACTTAGAATGGAAGTCCAATTGAGAAAGCATCAATAAGTGCCCTCCCGGAGTCAAAAATTCCGATCACTCCAAAAATGCATCCCAAGTAGATGATAAAATAATCAAAAAATATCGTTTTCCTATCCAGAGTGTTGCCTTTGAGTTTAATGTGAAAGTAGGCAGGCCAGATAAAGCTCAACATGGTTCCGGTAAAGCTTCCAATAAATCCCATTAAAATTTGGAAATGCGGTATGAAACACGCCATTAGGATCGTAAATAATACGATTGCAACTCTCCATGCCAAGCCCCACACTTCCAAATCGCCATTTTTATCCCATATTGTTGGAAACGGAGTTTTCGGTTTACCTCGAAAAAATGCCCTTTCCAACAGCTCGCAAGCTGCATAGTATGGAAGCGGATAGCTTAGTAAGGCTTTAATTACCAGGCAAGTGTTCACCAATCCTTTGAACCCTGGAGAGTGCAAATTGTTGGTGATCACCTGCTGAGTATCGCTCTGGAAGGTCAGAAAGCAAATGTAGCCAAATACCGCTTTGAATACGGCAGCCCAAACGTGACTCCAGTCCAGCATCCAGTCAAACTTGGAGGGATCCTCCATGTTGCCTTCTAAAGTGGGCAGAAATATTTGAGAAGTATAGGAGAAAACGATTACTCCTAGGCTGATAGGGAAGTTTTTGAGATCCAAAGTCCACTTAACGTTGCTCCAGCCCCAATCACCAATTTCCAGCAGGCAGTAGCCGATAATGATCACGTTGATGAAGATGTGGGACATTGTGCACCAAAATGAGAGAAGTGAGACGCTCTTGAGGGATTTAATGAATCCTGTTGGAAATTCATAAAATGTGGGTTTAGTTCAGCGGAGCTGGTTTTTTATAGCCTCTAAAAGTTCATGTTTGTGATTTTCAATCCAAAGCGACTACGTTCTAGCCAAGTAAAAGCTTTGATGCAAAACCGAATACGAAACTTACATCAAATGTTTTATATGTTTTTAAAGTATTATTAGTAGAATAATGTTCGAGATATCTGGATTTTCAGTCAAATAAAGTACTGACTTAAATAATAAAATATTCAGACACCCATTTAAATATTTTTACGATAAATATTGAATATACAAATACATAATTTAAAGTTATACAAACTTCTTATTGGTTTTTTTAAATAAATAATGCGATCATTCTATTATTGGATTATTTCGATATCTTATTATGGGACAAAAGTATTTTATTTTATTATTTTTATTACTAATTTTGGATTAAAATTTGATGAAAAAATACTCAGATTATCAGTATCACACTTAACATTCTTCCGTGTTAAGTTATTCTCTTTTTTTTCTTCCAACTTATAACATGCTTTAAATTAAAAATGATGTAATATTTATGTGCGTGTTTCGTAAAAATAGTTCTGTTTTATCTCTCTGACCAGAACTATGGGAACATCTACTTACATTTTTGGGAAACTATGGGACTATTTACTTTTAAAACATAATTTGTCTTCCTTTCCTCAATTTGTTCTTTTATAAGATAACGAATCAAACACAAAAGGGTTGTGCTTAAAATCTAAAATCTCGGTTGCAATTCAAAAATCAGTTTTATGTAGAAGTAAAAAAAATGTTCTTATCTTAAGCTTAACCTTAACATTAACTTGTATGTAGATTATTGTATAATTTTTGAGAAATTAAGCTGGTTTTCCAACGCCTTGAAATGAAAAGGGAAACTGATAAAACCCAGAAGAGTTTTGATAAAATCGATACAAATATCGATTTTATCATGTTATTCAAAAATAATAGTCATACGATCTATAAATATGCAATAAAAGTGTAGTTAGCGCACTTCAGTTAGAGTCCACACCAATTAATCAAAACCTGGTTTTAAAGCCAATAATTTAAAAATAATAGAGAACGCGCTCGCAAATGCTACATATTTTAACTTTTGATGCCATACTCGTACATTGCTTAGGAGAGCAAAAACTGTAAATTCTATTACTATAAGGTCCTAGAGATCGCAAATTTAATAAAATGGTAAATCATACGCTTGATATTAACAATCTGAGCAATATATTAATTTATAAAAGATGATATAGAGAAACTATAAAAATAAAATTAGAAAATACCGAGAAAAACTATATAGACAAAAACATAATTAAAAATGGGAATATGAAAAAAGCTAATAATATTAAGCAGTAAATTAAGCATATGGAGTAAGCAGGGAAATACGCAAGACGCAGTTGGCAGTATGGGAGTCCCAAGAAATTGAAATGGAAATAAAAATCGTAGAAAATAAAAATTAACCATGAAAAAAATTAAAAGGTCTAGGCACTTGCAACAGAAGCAAAGATTGATAAGGTTTGGAGCTATAATAGAAAAATAGACAACAAAGGCAACCGGTTTCACCAAGAGAATAGTAGGTGGTAAGAAAGTGGACATTTAGGTACTCACAGAACAAGGAAAATTTACAAAACGTTGAACAGAATGCAATCTAGAATTCTTTGCAACGCAAAAAAGCAATGAGTGGCTGGAGCAAATACTACTGCAGATCATATATTTTATGTAAAACAAAGCACATAATAAAAGAAATAGAAAAATTCCCAATTTTCAAAGAATCAGGGAAAATAACATGACTTGTTTTAAAAGGATGATATATAAAGGGATATACTATAAGAATGAGAAAAGTATTTGAAAGTAATATTAGAACACATACAATACGATCTCCGATCATATAAATGGAAATAAATTCATATCTTTGGCAGCAAAAATACCTGATGATATTTAACCGAAACGTATGCACCTAATAATCGCTGTGAAAGTTGCCTTTTAAATGAGCGAATATCCTGGAATTTCGCACACTCTTAAGAAAATGATTACTACTTACCTAATGGAAGCAGAAAAATGCCGATTAGCATCATCCAGGATCGTGTGTCAATTGCTCCTTCGGGAAATGTTCCAATCATTAGATCTCCGCAAACCACCACGTAAAGAATGCAGGTCATTAGCAGTTCTATTATTTGAGCAATGCTTACTATTTTAGCACCATAATTTTTGCCGAAGCACTCTTTGGCAATGGCCACGTAAGAGTCTCTCACACGTATCCGTCTAAAAAAATATTTGAAAAATTAAACTTTTTAAAACTTTAATTTCCTTTGGGTTAAAGAACTTTATGTTCTAACCTTCCAGTTTGCAAGTCAATTTCATAAAGGCAATCTACTAGTATTTTTCCGGTATAGCAGCAAATTTGAGCCACGAGAATCATGGCTGCGATTGCCCAATACCCTCCAATTTGTACTGCAAATGGAAGGGATACAATAAACATTCCCTAAAAATTTAATTAAAAAAAAACAAGTGGGAAATTGTATATTTCGTTTTTTCCATATGCTCACTTGAATAGCGTTGGTCACATTCCAAGCGGCTTGATATTCGTTAATTTTTACATCACTTTTTCCTTCAACAAAATCGCTTCCTTCTGAGAAATCCACTGATGACATTTTGCTTGACTGCTTGATGATTCCTCCTTGGGCATTATTGAAATCACTCTCCTAATAAGAAGATAATTCAGTTTAGATTATTCATTATAAATGGTGTTTGAGAGCAACTAAAAAATAAGGAAATATTGGGAACAGAGCATATTAAACATATTCAAGAAGATGCTATGTGCCAATCAATATAAAAGAATTGCCGAATTTGTTTCTTTTTCAATATAGAATTACGAAAATTTTTGTTGCTGTGATTCAATAAAAAACGAACTCCAGTGTTTTGTTGATCAAATGTCCAAATGCTTAATCCATTAATTTTTATTATTTTGTTTTTAGTCACTAAACATATCTGACAAATAAAGCGGGATATGAAAATTAGCGCAAAATAGTAAAATAAAACCTGAGATAATTGTAAAATTGCAAACTTATGTTAGGTTTTTTAAACGTTAATCCGCGTGTTTGAAAAATACAATTTAGCACTAATATATATATTCTTAAATTTGTGCAGTAAACGTACGAAATAAAGACATCTCGTGTATACATAAGTATATGGATTCGTTGCTGTTTTTCAGTTGTGATATTCTGTACATTAATAGAGTTGTGTTGCTTTTAACTTTGTTCATTTTTCCCAGACTGGCTGGGAATGGGTTACGTTTTTTCTTTAATTGCGACTTCAAAAATATTCTCATCTCGGTTATTTCAAACTCTCTTTTAGATCTTTTAAACAGACTAGAATACATGAAACAGCTGAAATTCTGACATTGATTTGTTAAATAGTCTTCGAGGCAAGGAAGTTGAACATTTTCAAGCATAAACTCAATGAATCAATACGACTTTTCAAATATATATTTTAGTAGGAAATTATGATAATTTTTTGCAAGAAAAATATAGCTATAGAGTGACGATACTTTGCGAAAATAAATTTATATAATACATAGCTTGAAACAGTATTAAACAATCAGACAATTAGGAAAACCACTGACCAAATCAACCTCATTGGGAAGCACTGAATACCTATGAATGAAGTTATTTGAATTTTACCGATAAAATGTACAAACAAAGTACAAATGAACAAAACTATTGAGTTTCCTCTCAATTAAGAAATATCCCCTTTTATTTGCAGCATTCCGCTTAAAATAATTTTGATTTGGGCAAAATATAATTTAGTTCAATCCAAATTATGTGAGATGAAACACTACATTGTTCTCAAACGTTATTTGAAGCTTTTGATCGAAATTTAACCAGGTTTTTTCCTATTTCCAAACAGATTGTATTTAAAAATAATTATCTAATCGTCAATTTTAATTTTCTATCAATTTCAAACAGAATATTTTAAGCATTGTAAATAAATAAAACAAGTAACTGGAGTTAGCATAAATAAAACAAGGCTCTTTGCTCGTTTGCTCACCTGTTGAAATCCTCCAGGTTCTCCAGCCTCCATTTGATTTTGCAAAAAGGGGTTGTTGGGATTTGAAGAACCAAAGGGATTGGTGCTGGATTGCATGTTTGACATTTCGTGGTGTTCATTGATGGTGCCTCCGTGTGTTGTGTGGTTTTGGTTCGGGAGCTGAGCGAAATGCACCTGAAGGAGTTGAATTACATAAAATAGGTTCATTCACTTGTTGCCATATCAAGATTTTGCGGTAAAATTAAGATTTTTTGAAAACATGCGGATACTTACTCGCTCCCCATGTCCATGTCCATGTCCTATCTGGCTAGGCCTCTCAGCGGGAGTAGAAGAGGGCAAAATTTGCCTTTTTATCTGACTAGCAACGTTTACGGCTGCACTCAGAGGCGGCAACTTAATACCCCCAAAACGATTCATTTTCCTTCAGAGTAACACCAATCTAGCCACTTATTGCAACTTTTCAATAGAAATTTAGTATTTTTTATTCACAACTTTCAGAGATCAATATCAGGTTTCTTCATGCGATTTTCCCTTTTCGACTGCTGATTAATCCAAACAACCCCCTTTCGGACTGTATCCTATCAGTTCAGTACTTCCCTGTGCAACCGAGTTTAACTAAAACACATTTTCCGTATAAACTTACTTGATTTGTTTAAACGTGGATTTTCATCTTGGAGGATGCCTGGATAAAACCGAGCGATTCTGGATGATCAAATACGCTTGTGCCGCACAGAGATGGAATCAGGGGGTTGATATCGATTAATTGGCCCCGATTCCTATAGGGCGGTATTTGAATAGGAAGGTTAGGAAGTGAAGAGTTTTGTGCTCGTTGTTGAGGTTTTGAGCAGGATGGGATTGAGAAAAATGTTGGTAAAATCAAAGTTGAGTTGTAACTAAAGTAAATTGACAGAGTATTAGTTAAGTATACTTTCAGCCGCATTGGATTAGAAGAAATTGTTAAAATAGAAATGCTAGCAAATGTAAAAAAATGGGCAACTAACGCAGCCCGAGGCATCTTGTATGTAGATTTTTCTAGCTAAAAGCAAGCTTGAGATTAATTTGCAAATCATTACGATTATATGGGGAACAAAACCTTAATGGCAGAAACCGAGTAACAGCTTCATATATTGTAAAAGCCGATACTTTGATCAATTTGAATTTTACGAACAATTTCCCTGTTTCCATATCTATAACATTTGGTTTAAGGATTGAGCTATTTGTAAGTAAAGTAAACTGAAGGAATTAAAACACATTTGCCGGAAAATATTAATGATTTGAGCTGCAACCTAAACAACACATTTTTTGGACTTTTTTTCTAAATTGAAAAACAGTCGTTACGGTTTAAGATTGCTTACATCAATACTTTCAAGAGTAACTCACTACATTGCTAGATGGCACCTTCTCTTAACACATATCTATTTTCTTTTTGGGTTCTATAAAAACATTAATTTGCAGAGTTCGTTGGTAAATTGACTTAAACATGAAGTAATTTTTAGCAGTGTTTGTTAGCTTTGTTAAGTAAAGTATAATTCGATAGATACAAATATTTATGGTGACTTCAAGATTTCTTATACTTACCTGGAAAAACTTGAGTGCACTCAGAACACATGATCATACATTTTTTAATTACAACGAAATCTAATTATGAAAAACTGATACAATACCATCCGAGAATTCGGGATAGATTTTCATGTGAAGAAAAGAAAACGCATTTTGTATAGCCTTAATTAATTTATTAAATATTTTAGTTTTGCGTAATATGTGATTTGAGACAGTTAATAATCGATTTTTGTAAATCGGCGTGAACTGTTTGAACTTGATTTGTGGAACAAAATATGTATATATATTTTTTTAAATACATCAATATTTCGATATTATGCGATCGTTTGAAGTGACCTTTCTGGTAATACAATCGCATCTCTCAGAAGCATTGTTAGTAATTTCAAAGCTTATCTGATACACATGCACATAGTTGTAATAAAACGTCCCTCAAAAATGCTTCATGTTTATTTTCCGCACTCAAAAGCCGAAATAACAGATTTTTGCTTTAAATTCAAGACATTTTCCGAAGATAAAACATTTGATTGTTGAAACGTGATATATTGTTTCTAGAGACAGTTTCAAATTGCAAATAATTGCAAAATTTAACTCAACGGATTTTTTTCTATATTTCATTATTTTCTGAATATAAAATAGAAAAATGTTCTATATGCCATTTTGAGAACATACAAACTTGTATTTTTAAGGGTTTTAGAAGTCTATTCTGTACTCGTCTCGCTAAACGGCGAATACCTCTAAAGTCAAATCTTTAGAACCCCGTTTCAAAACATTTTATGAAATGGTATTTCTCGTTCTACATCTTCCGCTTTCTTAGAGAGACATATTTTAGCTGTAACTCTAAAAATAACCAACCAAAGCATTGGCATACAAAAATAAAATGTCTGTACAATAATTAATACCTGTCGCTTTCTCCCAGAACAACAGAACTGCAACAGGAGTTCATAGCACGTTTCAAGAAGCTCTTAACTTCAAGAAAGTGCAAACATTTTTAAAGCGAAAAAACAATGAGGAATAGAATTTAACCAAATTTAACTACCAAAAACCATTCCGGCCAGTGAAAAAATGTAACTACCCCATTTAATTTTATTCAATTTAAATCTTATTTAGCTTTTACAATTTTGAATCGATTCAGATAATTTTTTTTTAAATCTTGGGTATTTTCAACTGAACCAAAAAGTTGGAAATACCATAAATATCCAAAAAGTAGGATTTGAGTGAAGCCAAGAGATGTTTTTTTTACCTTAAATCCCTTATACTAGAGAATAAAAGCACAATGCTATATAATTACACACGATTGTTAAATTTCAGGTTTGCTTAACATTCCGTTTTTTCATTCATGACGATACAACAACTCTGAAAGCAGTTACAATTTTTTAACAACATTATGTACTTCACCACTAACATATATTTAAATTGCACCATATTGAGCGTGTTCGATTTTTTGACCCAGGAGTTTATTTTTGTATCAAATTACTGTACTCGCAAAAGTAACAGAACTGGGAACTTAATGCATTGTCCATTGTTCTGGATTTTTGGCAAATTTTCTCGTTTGATTAGATTGGGGCACCCCATTATGGTATTTAATATTTCTATGTTCACATTCATATGACAATTACATTATATTCCAGCCTCGTGTGCATTAAGGCTTGCCACAAAGCTCGATTTTTCAAATACATGAATGAATTTGTGCAAATTTGCAGCTTATGTATGTCATATGAACGTGAGTTCCCGACAAATATTGCGTTATATTTTAATGTTCAAACTACTGTGCCTTGACGCATTTCTATTGAAATATAAATAATAGTAGCAGTTGGACAAATGTGGTCCAATCATTATCAATGGGTTGTTTGCAACATTTTTCTGATCAATTGAGAAATTTCTCGTCTTTATTCTAGTTTATTAGTCTTGTAGGATCTTTGAATTTTCATCTAGATGATCATATTTGAAACACTGTTTGCGAAAAATTGCACAGAGCTAAAAAGATAAAATCAAAAAGAAGTTTGTAAAAGAAACCTACTATCGGTATTCCTTGCCGTAAAGATCAAATAAGTAAAAAAATATTCCAAGTCCCCGAGGCACTCCAGTAAACAGAAAAACATACTCTGAAGTATTTTCTCGGTTTTATTCCGTTAATACGGAAAATACTTTCCTATTCTATTATAGAAACTTATTGAATCTTTGTGAAAGATAGGCTTTGCTAAACGAATTGTTTAGATGCCAAAATTGGTTTTTCTTTCAATTTTTGTTCTTGCAGGTGTTTTTTAATCGGATTAACTGTGATTTGAGTGGTGTCTCTATTAGCTAGAAAATCTGTTTTAAATCTTCCTTAAAAACTTAAGAGCCTTTTTCCTTTGACAATTCTTCCTGAATAACTTCATTTAATGTAATTTCAAGCATATCCAAAAGAAAAACTGGCCTCATAAAGCACTTGATGTCGATTTTACTTCAATTAAAATTTTAAGTCCAATTCTAGTTTTATATAAACGATCTCGAAAGTTTTAAACCAAAATTCGGCGAAGTTTTAAAGTTAAAAAATACCAAAACAAATTGTCGAGAACGTCTTAAAAGCCTTTAAACTTCGTCGATTAGATCTGGAAGAATATAAATTTGGTTTAGCGGTTCAGGCTGCACTTTTGTTCGCGTAGCTGATTGTAGCCATAAGCGATATACATTTGTAATCGATCTTTAATATAAAAAAGCTGAAGGGGTTTTGGCATTAAGCTGATAATATAGGCAATATTTATTGATCTGTTCTAAAAGGGCAAATATCGGATTTTTACTTTCCTAAACTTCAAGAAATTCCCTTTCTGCGCTTTAGGTTGTTAAAACTTTTGAAAATCCGCGCAAAATTGCCTTCGCATTTTATCCTATTTTTATAAGCAACAACATACAATATCGATTTTTTGGAATGAAATAGGTGAGCGTAGGCCACGTACCAATTGACCTTTCTGTCCATGCTATTTCCAGTATAGAAATGCGTAATTACTTGATAGTAATTTAAAGGTTTTCTAATTCCCAATTAGAAATCGAGGGAACCGCAGAACGAAACGGGATTGTCTTGTGACAAGATTTGTGTAGGATAGTTTCTCTTGTATAAGATTCTTTCTCTCATAGAAGTTCTAAAGTCGTTCAGTTGTGGAGGTTGACTTTCCATTTTGTCTGTTGTTAAGACAAGTATTTAATGGTTTGGCGAAAACTTAGTAAATTCTAAAGTAGTTTTTTGCCATAAATGTTTGCTTGAAATTCAGTTTAATTCCAATATGCGCTTAATCATTATCCATAATGACGGTAGTTAATTGAGCCATTTTAACTCATCAATGTTATGAAAATCTTAATCTCCTGTATAATAACGATAATTAAAAATCTCGTTTAAATGGATAGAATATTGGCGAGTGACACGAATTGATAAATGACGATTATACGACGAAACCAATAGAGGGAAAAGGCGACATATTTTTTGTGTTCGTCGTTGTAAGGAAAATTTATCTTGTCAAAGAATGGACTTGAAAAATGGAGTTGCTCCCATTTTTATTATTTGGTTTCCTTGCGGCATACAAACACATATTCTTAAATCATACCAAGGCCTTTAACACTTTTGAATGCAAGTTTTATGCAAACAATTCAGAATACCTCTACGAAAGTACGCTAAAAATAACGGTTTCATGTTGACTATAATATCTAAGGTGATTATTATTTCTGCTCCCGAAGCGAAATATTTTAATAAATTACAGAAGTTTTAGAGGTTTCGCCCATAAATCAAAAGTTGGTTTGATTTATTAGTCGATTTACAGCCTGATAAATAGAACTCAATCTAACTTAAGTTGTATAGGCACCTAAATATTTGGTAGAAAGCGAGTGCAATAAGAGACTGATTATAATTTTCCCTGATTTATTAAACAAAATATATGACCATTTATATACAGCTGAATATTAAACACCACATTTAATAGCAATAATGCAGATTTTTCTCAGTAATATAAGTATGTTTTACAATTTATTATCTAACGAATTGCAAAAGAAGCTAGAAATCAGTAAAGTCTTTGTAACATTTAGAAATCAATATACATTCAGATAGTTTATTGACGCATATTATTGGCCTACTTACAATATTTATATGGGATGTATGTATGAACATGGAAAATGTTCCAAGAAACAGTGGCTTAATACTAACATTCGTTTAATTATTTTATAAAATTATTCAAATTGCAAGAATTGAAACCTCAGATAACTGAACTTCTTCTGAATTTTTAATTCTTCATATTCTCGCTTAAATTTAAAACTTATATGTAGTTAATTATAAAACACAATGCTATAATAGTCACTAATAAATTTCTATTTGCACAGTTTGTTACATGATATATTTCAAAGTAAAGTAGTTTTATTATTTAGCAAACAAATACTTTTAATGCTCTGTAAACTTTATAAATCAATAGTGTGATAAAAATATTATAACAATTACTATGTACATGTTGATGCATGAATTATAATATACTTGAAACTAGTTCCGTTTATAAAAAGTTTAAAATTACAAAAGTCGCATATTTTAGTTTTATAAAAAAGGAACTTTTTTACCATGATTAATTGGAAACTAAGTCAACTTAATCAAAGAACCTTTAAATGACCACTGATCACTTCCTACACAATTTGAAATTTTGAAAACTTATTGAATAAAATCTAATACTAATTTAATTTCGGAAGCTTCCCCTGGATAATTTTCTGCTATTTACACTGTATACACCACTCTGTGATTCGAACACTCTGACTAATAAAATTTTGATTTTTTTAACTGGATAAATTCACTGTTATCTACACCGCACAAGTCCTGGTTTTTTGAGAGGACTGTCTCCTGCTGATTCCAAAGTCGTTGGGAGGATTAAGTAAAGGTAAAGCTTTGTTGGCTGGAACTTGAAATCCTGAACCTGAACTGTCGGCCGCCCACTAAAAAACGTTTAATTTTAAATGTGTTCCAGTTACATGAATTAACGTTGTAAAACATTCAAGTTACTCAACGGGGAATTATTAAATAATTAACAATTCCATTCCTTAAGCACTAAGCCAAGCCACATTTAGAAGAAGACAATTTATAAAATATTTTCAGTTTGTTAGTGTCAAAAGTTTATTTTGGATCGCTTTAAATCGGGCTCGGAAATATATTATAAGAATTGAGTGCAAGAATCTTCTCTAAAACGACTTAATAAATTTACGTACATGGTTCATGGGGTTGTGTTTCTTCCTCCTACATCGAATTTTAAATTTCAACAGGCTCTTGATTGAATTTCTGAAATTCCTGGACAGAGCACAGTAAATAATCGGGTTTAATGCTGAATTTGAGTGGCCCAGCAATAAGAGATATACGTTAACGGACTCTGCTTCTGTATGGCCTGTTATGTTCATTACCAAGTTCATGATGTGGTAAGGCAGCCAACAAGCAGCAAATACCACAGCTAGCAAAAGTAAGATGCATGCGACTCTCTTTCTGGATCTCATCACTCGATTTCTCTGGAAATAAAAAAAAATCGCTGTCAGTAACAGTTTCAGTGTAACTTGTTCAAAGGAAATTAATTACTACTTTCAGTGCCATTTTCAATAGTTTCGCCCATCCAAAAATTTCAAGAGTTTCTTCTGGCAGGGGTATGATACCATATATCACAGGCTAGTAATTTTCTGGATAATATGATTCCGACGCTCTTAAGAGAAAAAGTCTGGAATAATGCCAATCTGGTCTGGAATGTCCAATATGTTTCTGCCAGCTGTTTAAGTTTGTGTATAACGCGTGTGGCATTAGCATAATGCCCTTTTTCACTTATGTGATAGTTCTTAAGCGTTGGTGTAAGTTTAATTTATTTCCGCTTTGTGCCATATTCTGCTTTTATGCAAGTTGCTTTAAATGCAGTAAAACATTGAATTCCTATTCATTTGGGTTAAAGACTTACTACTGTATGCATTCACAAATGCGAAAGCGATTTGTGGATCAGCTTCCAGTAGCAACTTTGATTATAAATTCGAATTCTCCTCTATATGAGAAACAGTGAACTGTACAGCAGTTAGTCTTATTTTATGAAAAATAATATTTTTTGTTAACAATAACAAAAACATTCTCACTTAAAAAAAAATCCTGTCATAATGCAACAGTTGATGCAAAGTAGTGCGGAATGGTTACAAAACATGTTTCAAACATGCATTAATTTACAGAGAATGATGATTCAATAGTGTTCTTCCACTTCACCACAAGTAAATTCAACGTACAGGATGGGCCAATGCAAAGTTTTCGCCCCGATTAAATTCAGTTGCTACCTAAAAACCTAAAAACCAAAAATGCCTTATTCTAGAACATGGAGAGAGGGTGGCAGTTTTTGTAAACTGTAGTCTGCAAATTAATCCGTGAGAAAAAAATTTAGTTGCTGATCTTTCGATAACCCCGTAATCTCTAAAAGTGGAGTTTAGAAGTTAAGGAACTCATGCTGCATAATACAATATCATATTTTTTTCTGAGTAATCATCATTTTTCCCAAGAACCTATATGTTATTCTGGGAACGATACTTTCTTGAAGGAAATTAAAATGCATCTGCTCGATTAAATTGCCTTGTAAAAAAATGGTTCAATTTATTACATTTCAAACGTGTAAATTCAGACTACCATACACAGAGAGAAATTGATATGAGTGTTGATTGTGTTTGGCCAAATACAATACCATTCTTTCTCTTTGAACGAAAGTGAATGAAAGATTCTAATCTGATAAATTCTAATCTAATGTTGTTATTTGCCACTTTTTGCAATCATAAAATTAGGCTAGGGCTTTGTGGTGAAAAATTTGGAACCTCTAAAGCTACCTCAGAGTGGAATGAAATTCTGTAAAAATCAACCATTTTCCGCGTTTTTTGCAATATTAATTGCTTCATTTGGCTATTCTTAAGGAAAACATCGCTTTTACAGAACTGTTACACCGTTTTTCAATAAAAATTATGAAAGCACTTTTTAGATTAAAGTTAAACGAATGTAAAACAATAGAAAAAAA